ACATTCAAGCTGTTCACACTTCAATCCTTATTCGTTTCCCTATTTGTTCCTTCAATTTTTCAGTTTGCAGCTGTGACATTTGATAATGCATAGTCATGTTGGATGCTGTGTATTTAGTTGCAATAACATATAAAATCCTGTATATGGTGCTAGAGAACCTTTTATCTGAGTTTAAAGTTTAAACCATCAGCTGTAGCTGTGACGGGGACCTCAAAACATTGACTTCTGTGGAAGATAGTTCATAATTTGTCAGTAATTACTTGAAAGGTAAGATGTGATGGTTTAGAGCCTAAAGAGACATCTGAAATTTTTTTTTAAACCGTTACATTTACACTCGCAAATCTCACATCTCTGATAAAGTTTAGTTGCTCTTCGTCTGCCTGGGATCTTTCCGTGGTTGCTGCTGTATTAATGACATCGACTGATGTAAATGACCCTGCTGCTGCGTGTCATTCTGGGTCCCTCTCATATCTCCTGGCTGCATATCTTATGCCGTGCACATCCCCACTGCCCCAGGCTGTGTTGACATTTAGACAGGCTGTTCCTTTTCAGAGAGAACTTGGCACGCACACTCCTAGATAACCTTGTCAGCTCCGAGACTTGCCTGTTCCTCAAACTGCTTTTTTCTCCTCTCTCTCTCTCTTTCGCTTTCATGGCAGTTTCTTCTTGTGTGTTTGTGCCATTTCCCTAGCCTCATCTTCTTCTTTCTTGTCATACATTTTTGTTTGCTCTTATTCTTTTTCTTTTTGTTGACATTTAAAAGTGTATTTGCATCTCTATCTGACACCTGGAGCACCCATCTGTTTTCTGTTCTGTCTTCTTGTTTTTCTGAACTTCTCTCACGAGTGTTAACCCTTATCATATCAGCTGGTGCAGCAACGAAGATAGTGCTCTTTCTCACTCACTCTTGCTGAATACTGCGAATAATACCAATCGTTCTCAACACAGCAGCTGTCTATAAAAAGTAGGTCAGTTAATTAAAATCATGAACTAAAAAGGTGTTAATTTGAATTAAGCACTTGCTTAACTATATTAAGCAAGTCTATTTAAAAGTTGTGTCTAATCAGTGCATAAAATGCATATTAGAATAAAGCTCCTGTGTGAAAATAGTGTTATACTCTTATATTTATACAAACCCAGTTTCCAAAAAGTTTAGGAGGCTGTGTAAAATGTAAATAAAAACAGAACCCAATGATATGGAAATCTGATGAACGCATGTTTTATTATAGAACAGAGAAAACACACTCTTTCTATTTCATGCAAATTATTAGCTCATTTTGAATTTTATTGCAGCAGAAGGCTGCGAAAGGCTTTTTAGGGGGTACTAAAAAGAAACAACTGGAGGAATATTTTCCAACAAATTAGGTTAATTGGGAACAGGTCAGTAACGTGATTGGGTATAAAAAGAGCATCTCAGAGATGCAGAGTTTCTCAGAAGTAGAGTTGGGCAGATGTTCACCAATCTGTAAAAAAAACTACAGATTGGTGACAAATCTACAAATTTTGCAACAATATTCCTCAGTGTTAAAATGCAAAGACTTTGAATATCTCATCTACAGTAAATAATAACATCAAAGGATTCAGAGAATATGGAGAAATTTCTGTGCAAAAGGGACAAAAATCAATATTGGATTGGATTGGGGCCCTCGGGCAGCGCTGCATTTAAAACAGGTACGATTCTGTCATGGAAATCGATGTAGGGGCTCAGGAACACTTCCAGAAATCACTGCTATAAACACGGTTCATCGTGCCATTCTCAAATGCAAGTTAAAGCTCTATCGTGCAAGGAAGAAGCCAAATACTGTGTATGAACATGATCCAGAAACGCAGAGTGGAAAAATGTTATGCGGACAGACAAATCAAAATTTGAAAATCATTTTGGAAAACATGGACGTTGCATTCTGTGGGCTAAGGAAGAGAGGGACCAAATGTGACAAAGAACTGTTGAGCAGCAAGAATCTTTTTTTTTTTCAGCTTAAACATCTGACATGTTTTCTGTGTTCTGTTAAAAATGAAATATTATATTTATATTTTACACAGACCAAACACCTTTTTTTTAGGAATCCCGTTTGCATACTGGAGGAAAACACTAGGTTTGTTTGTTGTTTTATGACAGTATCGTGTTCACTTTGAAGATAAAAAGAACCAACCAGAGAGCGATGAATTCATGAGGTTGTGAGTCACTTGTGTGGATAATTTATTACCGTGGCATTTTCTGTTGTCTTACGTGGACACCTCCAGATGTGGCCCCTTTCTCGCTCTCTCACACGCTTTCCAATTTGGGCCATCAACTCACAGGAAGAAATTCCTCACAACCCAAGTGCACATGCCAAATGTCATCACAAGAAGATTTCTGCCTGCCCTCTAATTTATTTATTTCCTTTCCTACTTAGAGAGGGATCTTTGCTTTTATTTATTTATTTTGACAGGAGCTAACCTGAGGAGGACGCACATACAGTGCTGCTGCTCACTTCCTGCAGGAAGATGGACAAAAAGTTCAGAAGGACTGTTTTTCTGCCTCTTTGAAAAGATTTGAGGACACTTACCTGAAGAATTCCTTCATGATGTGTGCAGCTATTCAGCTACTAAGTGTCTTTTCTGGATTTGTTTCATAACTGCTGCCTTTGTCAGCTTTACCATCAAAGGTTTAACAAAGAACATGCCTTGAAGTGTATCACATGGTGGATTAGGGGGATGTTTGCTTTCTTATAGGTACAGCAGGGGGGAAAAGGTGGGATTTGTCTCCTTTTTATTAAAAAGTTATACAAACAAATTGTAGTAGTGTCAAGGTTTATTTGATTTTCCAACCTTTCACCATCCTTTGAGACCAAATATTAAATATGCATTGTCAGGACCAAGAGCAGGTGCTACTGACAGCAAGCATGCCCACTACTGTTTATGTGTGCTTCTCTACATATTCATCCACAACCGACGCTGTGATGTCTCCATTTGTTCTACGCCATCACTGTTAATTAGAGAGGGAAGCCAGAGAAGAGGCCCAGACACACAGGACAGAGAACAGAGGCTGAAATAGACCACATGAGGAGCAGCAGGTCACAGCTCTGTCCATATTACCTATAATTGTGTATCTTCACAGCATGCATTGTTGAAGGAGATATCCGTATCTTCTAGCTCCTTTTTTTATATTCCTTTGCCCTTTTTCTCATTATTCCGTCGTCTCCTCCTTTCATTTATTTATTTATTTATTTATTTATTTACCTCATTTCCTTTACACCCAGCTTATGTTGCTCAACAAAGAATCTGATTTGCCACATGAACGATCAGAACAGAAATGGAGAATGAATTTTAAAAATATATCCCCAAACAAAGGGTTATTTTTGTCCATCTTTTCTATATCAGTATTTTTTTAATTTTTGTCATTTAAGTTTGTTGCAGAAAATATTCACAGGAAAAACAAAATCTGCAGACAGATGTGTTTTTGAAATGTCTGGTCACCAGTTGCATAACATAGCAAAAGGTGTCCATCTCTGTTTTACATTTACAAGGATTCAATGGACTAGAAACAGGCTTTTAAACAAGGGGGTGGTGCAGTGGTACTGTTGCCTCACAGCAAGAAGGTCAAACTGAGTCGCCTCCACCACCTATGTGGGGGGGAGTTGCATGTTCTCTCTGTGTCCGGGTACTCCAGCTTCCTCACACAGTCCAATGCAGTTGGTAGGGTTGGGTTATATGATGACTCTAAATTGCCCATAACTGTGAATGTGAGTGCAAATGGTTGCCTGTTCCTCTGTGTCAGACTGCTGACCTGTCCAGGATGTAACTTACCTCTTGCCCTATGGTAGCTGGGATAGGTTAGCTGGGATATCGGTCAGGATGGTTGTCACCATGCATTTTGATTCTTTTCCTGCTACTGAATAAAACCATCCTTAGAGGAAGTCTCTTTGGGTGCAACTGCAACCAAAGCATTTGACAGTTTTCTACTTTCCATTTGTAAACCTGTTCTATTTTTGCAGGACAAAGAGCAGATATGCTTCTGTAAGATGCAAATTTGATAGACTATACCAAGATTCCCTTTAGATACATAAAAAAAAGGAGAGCGAGAGACAGAAATCCTGTTGTTGGAAATATTTCTTGTCACTTTTCATCTTAGCGATAGCAGCGGCTCTCTGGTTTCAAACCTCCTTCTGTAATTACAAAGAAACCACAGACCCACTTACTGGCTTGTGTTTAGCAAATGATTCATCCCCGAAACATAATTCAGCCAAACATTGTAAGATACTTTTTCCAGTCTGAAGACCTAATAAAGTCTTGTTTCCCAAACTGTTTTATGCCACGATGTTTCAGATTAGAGGTGAGAAAGACATCTTCATCTGTGCTCTCACGCCATGAATCCCCATTAGCTTAGATATCTGTACACTAATGAGGCAGAAATGGAACACAAAATGCAGAAGTGTATCTGTAACTGTGTCTTCTCCTTGACAAACCCACAACATCATAACAGCATCACACACAGTTCATTACATTAGGTGACTCATGGATCTGTTCTCTGTGGAGCCTCTCTCCTCTTTATTAATCCCTCAGCTGAAGCAACCCTGCATAATTATTACGCTCACCGTGACCTTCCAGCGGCTGCTGAAGTTTGTAAGTCAACAGATTATTGAGATGCTGGAGAAACTTTGCTTTTTCCTGTTTTTTCCGCTCTGTTAGTCTTCATAAAGGTCAACAACCCACACACTTTGAGCTCACGCAGTTTTCTGGAGTTGTCAGAAAAGGGTTTAGGAAAGCAAGAAATCATATCTTAATATGGCTTGAGAATGAGGAACCAATCACACTGCGTTTATCCAACTATAGCTGTAGATTTACCTTTAACATCACTGTTTTTCCCCTCAGTTTTTTAGCAACAACAGCATGGCTCAAATGGCTTGTGAAATAGACTAATTTCATCATAATTTATATAATAAAACTGGCACACTTTAGTTCATCAGCAGCCATTTTCTTCTGTTCCTCTTTTAAACACTAGCCAATGCCATGCTCACAAAAGCCGTGTGTTTTTCATTTTCACTCTCCTCACCAGCTCCTCACCAGGTGGATGTTCTGCAGAACCCACAGTCAACAAAGGCTCCTCTCTGGCTTCCTGTCTTGGGGGATCTCAGACCCACAGATGTTGTGCCTGTCAGGATGATAGATGGCCGTGGTAATCATCAAGCTATAATAACGAAACTGGAGTGAGATGGAGGGGCGAAGGGATGAGAAAGATGGGGTCTGAATTATAATTTTCTCTTTGTTTATCCTTCAGCGGGTTTGGAGACCAGTAACTGTGACACTCGTGGAAACTAAGGTCTGGGAGATGCTGCCGGGAGTCACGGAGATATGAGGGAGAGATGTGAAAGTGAGGAGGGAGAGGGAGAGAGATTAGTACTTAATCATGTGTGGTGCAGTGTGTGAGAGAGCCTACGAGGCCACTCGGGTCTGCTGGATGCACCTGAATCGGGGTGATCGCTTCCTCTCCGCCCCCTCACTCAGATCATCGCTCTGAAGCGCTGACAGAGAGCGGACAGTCGCTCACAATAACCGGCTCTGTAGCAGCCTCCGGCTTATCTCATCTCCCCCCAGCCCCGGTGCCGACCCGCACCGACTGTTCCCCTCTCTATCAACTGAATCTCCCCGACACACCATAGAGGCAGAGCTGCGGTCGTGTTTCACTTTCTTTGCTTGCACGGAGCTCGCATCGTTTCCCCGGATCTTTGTTTCTGGACGGCAGGCTGCGGCTGTGTAATGCCCCGGTGAGTGCTGGATGGTTCCTGGTGTTATCTTTGCGTGTATTTCTTTCTTCTTCCTCTTGTCGTTTGCCACAGAACAGATGCTCTGATAAGATATCTGAGATATGTGTCTGACATAGGGTTGTTAATGTTTGGAATACTTTTCCCCTTATAAACTGGGCTTTATGTTTTATTACATGCACTTCCATTACATTGTTTTTGTTCTGTCAGAGGGGCGTTTCTAGAGTGTGTGTAGACACACAAAGGCAGCTGCATCAAGCCAGCATGCGCAGAGGAAGAACATGTAGTGTTTCCCATGATGTAAAGTGGGCTAAAACTGCCTTTACGCTTATTGGGAAGTAAACCGAGTATAAAAGAGAGCGCGACAGAGAGAGAGAGAGAGAGAGAGAGAGGAAGATGGAAAAGAAAGAGTAGAAAACAAAGCTACAGAGGTTCCTCTGGGACAGAAAATCATCAGCACAAAGCCAGGAGTATGACAGATGTGCCCTTATTTGCTCATATCTGCTATCACCTACAAATTTAGTAACATCATATTGGCTCATGCCAAGAGTTGACTTTTATTTCCCTCCTCTTAAATATGAATGAATAACTACATTATATTATTTTAAAAAGCATGCACTCTGAATTTAAATCAATTGTTTTTGACATAAACATTTTTTGGACTGGATAAAGCCACTGCATTGTTATTCATAATATATAGCACTGTTGCATAACCCGAAGAAATATAGAGAATAAATGCTCAGTTTGTGTGTGTGTGAGAGAGAGAGAGAGCACCAACATGTCGTTAGTGGTTATGCATTATTTATAAAGTTACCCCAGTGCTGCACCTCCCACCCAGACCCACTGTCAGTGCTGCCTCTCTAGTCTCTCTGTTCTCACCTTACACTCTTGCAGCCTCTGACTGAGCTTAACATGAGTGTTTAAGTATTTTAAAGGCTGTGGAAATGGGGGGGGATAAAAGCACCTGCAGTCCAGTTCAGTTACAGGGTGTGTGCTCTCCAATTCAAGTAAGAAAGAGCTAAAAGAGGGATGACTTCATTCTCAACCGTGCCTCGAGGCTTCTGGTAGCACAGAGATTTGTTTTATGGATTGATGACTTCACCTCTGGGGCTGAAGAGAAGGACAAAGTCAATTCTTTTGTTTGCTACCTCTATGTGACCTTCCTGGGTTAGAAATTGGAACTAAAATTGTCTAAAGCAGATCAAAAACTGAAAGGATGAACAAGAAACTGCAATCATGTCAATCTAGTCCACCCTGTCAAATAGACTTTTTGCTTTGATGTGATAACATTTGATGTGCTTTAATATAACGCATATTAAAGCACCATAAAATTGATCATCCTCTCTCTATGCACTCAAAGTTGCTTGCATAGATTAGGTTACACTGCCATTTGGTGTTATGTAATGGTAACTCTGCCGCAACAGACAACGTTAACACCCGGGCTCTGCTGCCGTCTAACTTTCCTTGTTATCTTCCTCGTCTCCAAGCTCTCACCCCGTTTCCTCTTTCCCTCCCCAGCAGCAGGAGCAGCAGATGTGCTGAGCGACGCAGCTAATGGTGGTGTCTTCCTATACTGGCCTTGATGCTGATGCTGCTGAAATCCCTACATTCAGGAAAAGGCAACAGGAAGCAGATTTCTGAGGGATTACACCCAAGCACATGTACACATATGCATACTGAGCGGATACCACAGTTCTAGGATTTGGCTGGCACCCAGGTGTGGAGCTCCCTTTGAATGAACTCGCGTGCCTGAGAGAGGCACTCACTGGTATCATGGAAGAAGAGGAGGAGCCAACAGAGTCTTATTGAATATAAAACACATGACTGCTCCTCCCTTTTTTTTTCCTTGCCTCACCATCAAAGGCTGCTTGATGACTTGTAACAAACAGCGGAGCGTGCATAAACAGAGAAGAGTGCAGAGCCGACCATCCGCCTGCTGCTGCTGCTGCTGTCCCATGATACATCAAGTCAAGAATCAGCCACACGGAGGGTTGTTTCTATGGATACCCCATGCCCTGAGTAGTATTAATAAGGCTCCCTGATATTCTGACTATCTGTGCATGAAGATACAGGCAGAGATTAGAAGTACACCCCTGCAGCAGACTTCAGCTCTAAAATAAAACATCTGTGAGGGAGAGACAGACATCATCACCATCAAGAGTCAAGAGGAAGATGCTGGAGGAAAAAAACAAGTTATTTTTAAACATCCACTGTAGAGGCTTTACCAGCATGTTAAAAGTGTCCCTGTGTGATCACTGACTAAAGCCGAACATTACAGTTTTGCATATTTTTAGCTGTACTGAGTTTGAGGTTTTGCTCAGTTGCACCTTTTCTCAAAGGCATCAGAGTTCATCTTCTTTGTCCTTAGTTTGGGACACACAGGCAACAGATGGTGAAGTACAACTTGAATTGCTCCACACTGGACTAAATGAAGAGGTCAAATGACGCACAAAATCTTATTCTTTAGATCCCATGGAGATCATTTCTTTTCTTGCAATACTAAGAATAGCTCTGAAATTCAGCACAAGCATTTCTTAATAATCCCTTTTAAAGTTTTGGTTGGTCTCTTGAATTGTCACCATTTTCCGTAGGAATAGTCCTGCATTGTGCTTTTGTCTACAAGGAAACATCTATCTACATGTATCTAAATGCAGCAGCTAAGTAAATAAAATTCAGGTCTCCACTCACCAGCAAGATGTAACGTGTGCATAAAAGAGTGAAACAATCATTGCTAATCAAGAGATTAAATCTACCGTCTGGTACCTCGAATCATACATCCCTGTTACCTCCAGAGTGAGCAGCAATGGCCACACAGGACACACCGCACTTTCTCCATGGCTTCGACCTCGGTGGTCACTTTGTTGACCCTCGACCTCTCGGTACAGGTGTCACAGGCTTGGTCCTGTCTGCTGTGGACCAGCGGACTGGAAAGCGTGTAGCAATTAAAAAGCTGGTGATGCGAGACGCCGTGACGGTGAAACATGCCCTGCGAGAGGTAAAGATCACCCGACGGCTGCACCATGAAAATGTGGTGAGAGTCCACGAGGTTTTAGCTCCATATGGACGGCCCTTGCCCCGAGATCCAACCCAGCTCAGCGCCCTCTACATTGTCCAGGAGTGCATGGAGACTGATCTGGCTCGACTGCTGGAGCAAGGGCCGCTACATACAGGTAAATAAAAGGAAGAATACAGAAAACTTGCCCAGCAAATCACCACAAAGTTATAAACAAAGCAGGGTTTTTTATATAACAATTTGGCAAGGCAGAAATCTGACATCAAAACAGTCAAGATGGATAAACAGAAATACAGGCCAGAGGGATACGTATTTATTTTTTACTATTACCTATATCCAGACATGATAATAGATGTTTTTTAAAGAAGAAAATATGTGCTTATACATTGCATATGGACATTGGGGTACATCGTGATGTGCTGATTTGATTTTTGCCCTTGAGCAGGTCATGCTACTCTGCTGTTCTACCAGCTGCTGAGGGGACTGAAGTTTATCCACTCTGCCAACGTCCTGCACAGAGACCTGAAGCCAGCCAACACATTTATCAACACGGACCAACTGCTGCTCAAGATCGGAGACTTCGGGCTGGCCAGAATAGTCGACCCTCATTATTCTCATAAGGTAAGCGTGAAGACGCACAAGGACCACTGAAGGACCCACGCACACACAGGCACACAAACACACACAGAAGTGCATGATCTGCAGGGAGACTCATGCTGACAAGGTGGCAGCTCATTGCATGGATAGCTCGCTCAAAAAAGTTTTCCAAATGGCCTACAGTGTCTTTTCAAATTGGTAAATGGATGAGTCATATTACAGCAGTACTGTGCAAAAGTCTTGAGCCAACCCTCATTTCTTTATATTTTGCAAGGAAAACTGGAGATTGGTGCATCGATTTATTAAAACACGAGTTTGTACAATTCTAAGAAGTTTGAATGTCAATATTTAGTGTTACCAGCTTCATCCTCCAACACAGCCTGAACTCTCCAAGGCAAATTTTATTGTCATTTCTTCAGGTAGTCTCCAGGCTTCCTTAAGTTCTTCTTTGGATGTGAGCTGCCTTTTGTTCCGTCCTCTGTCAAGATGATCACACACTGATCCAATAATGTTGAGATCCAGGCTCTGGGGAGGCCAATCTATGATAGTGTTTCAGTGTGTAGTTCTATCAGGGCATGTTTTTACTGGACTGGCATTGTGTTTGGAATCACTGTCACACTGAAAAATGAAGCTGCTGCCAAGCAGATGCTTTCAAGATGGTATTGAATGGTGGATCAAAGTCCGACTGTACTTTCTGCGTTCATAATTCCATCAGTTTTGACGTATTGTTGTACCTCTATCCGGACCTCCTCCATACATCATTGACAACGATTAGAAACAAAATTTTCAAATTTGATTGATCATGTCCTCTTGCCTTATGACAGCTGGGATATGCTCCAGCCCTCCTGTGACCCAGAACTCGATGGATGGAGGATGAAATAAGAAGTGCTCAAGCTTTTTGCACAGTACTGTAGTTTTTGTAGTCTTTATTTAAGTGCATGTCTATAAGAAAATACTGGTGTGATGACCAAAGAAGAGATTGTGATATGTGCACAAACATTCCCAGATGTATCCCAATTATTCTCACTTAATGTTTTTGTAGGGCATGTAAATAAAGCCAGAGTGCCAAGATCTATTTTGACTGGAAGCTAATTAATGCCTTTTCATTTTTTTATATAAATCTTTAAATCCCTGATCAACCACGAAGGGCTCTGTTGGCCACATTGATTTTGAAATCAAAATAAAAAAAATAAAAAATGAAATACTTTGTGCAGCTTGTTCTACAAAAACTAATCATACCAAACATTTCAGCCAACTTGCGGGGGATTTCTTTTCCTCTCTTCTCATTTCTCTGAAGCACCGTATGCCATTCAACTGCTGATGGCTACATCTAGGCAGCACATTGTAATATCAAACATTATCTCTGCTCCATCTCATTATGGTAGAGTTGTTATTAGGGAAGAGACACCAATTCCTCAAACCCTATGTGGTTATCAGGCAGCTGATCACACAATAAATAGTGTAGTGCTGTAAAAGAATCCTTTCAAAGAAAATTCTTTCTATATTTCAATTTGCAATGAGGAATCTATCAGGTTTCCATTTTATTTTACAACTGGATGCTTATCAATAGTCTGATCCTGCGTATGTAAAGTGCACCTGTGGACCAAGCAGCCAGAATTTCATAATCTCCAATTTTGAGAAGTGTGTAACTGATGTATCTCTCCTTACGCATTGCAGTGCAGGCTAATGTTTGTTTCATATATTCTCTGATTACACATCTCCCTGTTTGATATTGCCAACCTGCGTTTTTCACAAGAAGCTTCCCCTTCACCCCGAACCCAGCTATTTATGTCTTCTTCCCAGAGCTGATATCAAGTTTTTCACTAATTATACTCTGTGGATAGTCTGGCAATGGCATATAAAGACTTCTGAAAGATTAGTGTGAAGATTTACTGCTCTATTGTTCAGCTTTATTGTGTGCAAAGAGCCCAAAGCCACACTGTAACACTAGCGGGACTGAATGTGTGTGCAAGCTTATATGTTTGTGTGTGGGGGGGTTTGGGTTTGTGCTTGTGAAGAGGAGCTCTTGTGAAAGGCGATCTTTGTCAGCTCAGAGCACGGGACTAGGGATCAGCTGGGTGCAGACACAGGGGTGCATTCGGAGAGGGGGGGTGGAAGGGAAGAAGAGAAGGGAGAGAAAGAACAGATGAGAAGCAAGAGTGAGAAATTTTAAACCGGGGAAGGCTGAGCGAAAGAGCTAAAAAGCTTTGTAAAAAAGTATGAAAGCAGAGGCAGGGAGAAAAAGAAAGAACGTGGAGAAAAGCTCAAAGCGGAGACGTCAGACAAGGGCGAGAAAAAGTCAGAGGCTACAGTTTTTCAAACACATTTCTCCAAAACACTATTTCAGTACTGAAAAAGTGTTTTCCAACACCACTCACACAGTCATGTGAATGTGAAGTACACTCGCTTTTGGTTCTAAGATTTTTTTATTATCAAGATACAATTTTAATTTTTTTTGTCCTTATCAGGTCTTGCAATTAGATAAATGGAACCTCAGACATATTACATGTCACATCTCATTATTTATTTAACAAATATTAAGCCTAAATGCAGAAGCAGTGTGTGGAAAAACAGATATTCAACCTTTCTCTTCCAACACCCACCAACTTCCATAGGAATTAAGAGAGTAAGTAACAGACAGGTGCTGCTAATCAAATCAACCCGATTAACTGAGCACATTTATAAAGCAGAGGTTTTGTCATTTTGCTGGTCTGCAGTATTCGACTGCCTGTTAACACAATGCAAAGACATCAGCAATGATCTCAGACAAGTAACTGTTGCTGCTGTTAGAAATCCATTTCTAAACAATTTGAAGCTCGTGATTTTACAGCGAGAAAGATTATTCACAAGTGGAAAACATTCAAGTCTGTTGCCAGTCTTCCCAGGAATGCACGTCACAGAAGATTCCCCCCAAGGTCAAACTGTGTATTGCTCAGAGACCCTGCAAAAAAAAAGCAAAAGAAATCCACCAGCTATATCTCAGACTCTATAGAGTTCAGTTAGCATGTTAAATGTTAAAGTTCATGGAAATACAATTAGAAAAAAGCTGAACAAGTATGGCTTGTTTGGAAGGGTTGCTAGGACACAAGAGAAAGTCTCTTCTCTCTCTAAAAAAAAATAAAACCAGGGCAGCATGGCTTAGATTTGAAAAGCTGCATCTCACCACATTACAAGACTACTGGAAAATTTCCTTTGGACAGATGAGATGAAGGTGGAAATGCGTGGCTATAATATACAGCAGATTCTTGGAGAAAACCAAACACAGCATATCAGCGCATACACTTCATACCAACTGTCAAGCATGGTGGTGGAGGGATGATGATTTGGGCTTGTTCTGCAGCCACAGGAAGTGGGCACCTTACAGTTATCGAGTCAGCCGTGACATCCTCTGTTTGCCAAAGTTTTCTAGAGTCAAATGCGAGGTCATCTGTTCGTCATGTAAAGCCTGGCTGAAACTGGGTCATGCAGCAAGGCTATGATCTCAGACAAACCACCAAGTCTACATTAGAATGAGTCACAATGACAAGAATCAAATGGCCCAGTCAAAGTCCAGGCCCCAACCTGACTGAAATGCTGTAGTGTGACTTTAAGAGAACTGTGCAAATGCCCACAAACCTCAATAAACTGAAGCAATATTTCAAATTTGAGTGGAATCCTCCACAACAATGTGAAAAACTCATAAAGTCAGACAGAAAATGCTTACTTCAAGTTATTGCTGCCAAAGGTGCTTCCTCAAACCACCGAATGATGGGGTGTAGTTAGTTTTTCACACACTGCTTCTATATTTGGCTTGGCTTTAGTTTTTAATAAATAATGACATGGTGTAATATGTTTTGTTGTTTAACATCTGGGTTTGTATTTTAATAATATAGACTACAGACAATATTCTAAATTATGTTTATTGTCCTCAGCACTGAAACATGGTGTCTCTTCTTTTTCACACGACTGTTTCTTGTCCTGCGTATCATGACTGATATTATTGTATCAGACCATTGATTTGCTGAGAATAACTGACTGCTAATACGAATCAAAGCTAATACTCTTTGGATGTTGTTTTCAAGGTTTTAAATTCTACCTTATAAAGCAAAAGATTAGTATTTGTTGTAGAAAAAGAATCCTATAATTGAAAATGAAGTAAAATACAGCAATACAAAAGAAAAAGGAAAAAGATAAAAACAGAACAATGGCATGCAGACTGTCAATGCCAAAAAAAAATAGGCTTTATTATAGTAGCAAAATAGTCTTAGGAACCAGTGGACATTCTGTCCCTCTGTTTGGCTACATGACCAAGCACTTAATACTCTTCCTTGTACTGCAACAAGGGGATGTCTTCTGTATTCTACCCACATCACATCCTTCATCTTCAAGGTGGTTGGTTATTACCCCCATGAATGTTTATCTAGGCAGAATCCAGTATGTTCACAAAGTGCTGCATCTGTGTTGCACTTAAGCTCTATAAATATGCTTTAAATGGTTTTGACAACAACATGGACCAATCTTCACATGACAGCTCACACAAATTAAAAACGTCTAAAGATTTTTGCAAAATATTCAAGAAAAGAAGAATAATCTCATTCATAAGTTAGATAATGCTGCAAAGGATTTCTCAAATTATTATGGATGGATAACGTCTGATGCTATTTGGGCTATTTGTGATGCAGTTTTGATACCAAAGCAGATGCTTTCAGTGAATACAATAGCATTCTCTCTCTGTTGCTCTTATTCAATAATGCAAACCAAAAGTGCCTTTTCAGGCATTTTCTGTTAATGGGCGTAGGCCGCATTAACCTCAGCTGTGATGGAAATTCACAAATGCTGTTAACTTTAAATAAGACTGGTTAATGCTTTAGTATCACAGAAGAACTTATGAAGATTTTATATCATGTTTTTTTTTAAAGAAAGTTGTGATGTGTAATTCTTCCTACTCAATGATCAGACAGACTTCTTCTCTGCATTAGCCATACCTTTTAATACTTGTACTGTATCTCAGTCCAGGCATTGAAATTAGGTTGTTTGAAGAGCTGTCTGGAAGTGTGTTTCTGACTACACAGAGCAAACATTTACTCAAGCAGAGAGAGATGACAGAAGGGCTGAGAGGAGAGAGGCAGAAAACAGAGGGGGAAAACAACATTATTTGTGATGTTATTTACAGTCTACACCGGTAAGATCTTGGTGCTTCTGTGAATGTGTATGTGTGAATGCCACCTGCTGAGGCAGTGCTGGATCTGCCCAGAAATTATTCATTACCTGGATGAAGGTCAGAGCAGAGGAAGGGGGAAGACAGTTGGATAAGGACAGAGTGTTTAAAAGTACCTGGAGAGAAGAGAAGGAGGGAAGAAACAGATGAGAAAGGAGGTAAAGGAAGCTTGTTGAGATGCACTAAAGGCTAGAAGAAAGAGAATAAGTGTGAAGAAAAGAGGAAGGGAAGGGGAACAGGCACAGCTAATGATGACGCAGAGAAATACTGAGGTGGGAGGTTGGGATGAACGAATGATAAAAAAAGTGGGAGGAAAAAGCAGGAGGAAGAAGGTCAATGGGGACAAAGAGGAAGCAAAGATGGGGGAAATCACCCCGTAATCTTAAAGAGTAGCAAAAACACTAAAACAGAAGTGGGGATAGTTTTGGAAACAAAGCAAACACAGCTACAAATGACATATGTGACCACATCTATGCATTGCTTTATAAAACTGAGGCCTAAATTTGCTTTTCCCTTAAAAACTGTGTCCAGGCTTGGGTTGGCCCTGAAAGAAATGTACTTTGGTACTTTTGAAACATCTATCAAACTCTCACCAGGGAGCGTAAACAAGAGCTCAGATATGAAAAGGCAACAGCGGGCCAGACAGATAGAAGATAAGGTCACTGAGTAGTCAGCATCATTTTTTGCACTGTCTCCTGCCACAAAGAAGAGAACAGGCAGTGACTTAGCAGTTACATTCAATGCACGTAGGAGTAGTCTAACTTTTTAAAAAAGAGTCGTACAGTCGTTTTGACATGCAAAGAAAACCTACTTCGGCCAGGCACACCGCGCACAGCGATGTCTAAGTGGGAATCTTGGTGTGGGTGGCCCACAGTGAAGAAGACTCTGAGTCATACTCATAACCTGCTGATCAAGAAAAATTACCCTTTTTCTTTTTCCTATCGAGAAGGCACTTATTTTCAAGCTGTCGAAAATATGAAGCAGCTTTGGGACGCATCAAAAGCGTGAGAAAGCAGGCCAGCCCTTTTTTGGCATAGTACCCCCAGATGATTTACTGACATGAAGAGTTTCAAGTGTGATAGCTTATCTGAATGAGGAAAAAAATTCAAGCTGTCTGTATTTTATTGGCTTAAATAGAGTAAGATAAGAGAATAGTGCTAAGAGGCATATTAGACATGTATGCCATGAGCCATTGTGGGGTTCATTTTCTATCTATTTCTGATCTTTGCCAGTTAGTCATCAAATTCAAATTAGCCTGAGAGATGGGCAACAGAATAGCGTCCCAGCACAATGAAAAGTTTATGTGAGTGATGTCAGTCATTATAAAACAATTCACAGCAGCTGAGTGGAAAAGCAGTGAAGACTACATCTGCCTTTTCCTGCCAAGAAATCTAAAAATGTGTGAGGGGAAATATAACCGCATTTTCTCGTGCAGTCTGGTCTCTTTTCAAGCTGGGCTGTGAAGAAGTTTAAGAGCCTGGGGCAGTGAAATTTGGCTCAGGAGAACTACGAGGGGAATAGAAATATGATGTAGTAAGTGAAGGTATTTTGAGATTTTACAAGGCTGGAGAGTGAGAGGTGGGGTGATATACAAGAGGTGGGGAAAGTGTTAATGATAGCAACAGGCAGAAACATCTCATTATCTCTACATCAGGGAATATGCGGACTTATCTCTGTGGTGACTGGCGTATCTCTGTGCATAACATCATTATTCACAAAGAGGATTTTTTAGAGAATTAGATAGAGTCCTCTGAATCCTGTCAGAGTAGCACTAATGAGGACTTATGTTGTTGCTTCGGTGGAAATTCAGGGCAATCCATTTTAAAGACAAACAACTACCAGCAAACTTTATACGTATTCAAGTACATGCAGCCTGCTAACAGTCCAATCTGATGCATGCCCGTCGTATATGAAAATAACTTAAGATTCTCAGAGCTTTCATTTTCTGTATTTCTCACTTTCAACAATTTTATCCCTCTGCTTTCCTTATCCAGGGCTATCTGTCGGAAGGTTTGGTAACTAAATGGTATTGCTCCCCACGTCTGCTGCTGTCACCCAACAATTATACCAAGGCCATAGACATGTGGGCTGCGGGCTGCATACTGGTTGAGATGCTCACTGGACGCATGCTATTTGCAGGTATGTCTACTGTTTTTAATGCGTTCACCGTTTAAGTACTGTCATTTTCAACCTTATTACTAATATATCACCCCAAACCGCAGATAACTGCCCCTCCCTGAGCCTGGCTTTGCCTGAGGTTTCTTCCTCTTAAAAGGGAGTTTTTCCTTCCCACTGTCACCAAAGTGCTTGCTCATCTGATTGTTGTTTGGGGGGTTTTTTTGTTTTTGTTTTTGCATTTACTCTAAAATATAAAGCACCTTGAGACAACTGTTGTTGTCATTGAACTGAACTGAACATAATTATAATAATTGCATCACACTAGTGACGCCATCCAGTTAGAGCAAAGAGAGTTTTTTTTTTCCTTTGACAGTGTCCTCCACCAAAGACACTTTGCTCTCTTTCTGCACACTACTTCTTTGCCTGACTAGAATGACAATGATGATAGAGAAATTCTCACTCTCCAGAGTAGATGTAGTTCTTCCTCACAGGCTGGTTTGACCTCCATCAGCCCTCTACACCACAGGGCTGACATCATAAACATATAGGTGTTCTTTGTTCCTTAGTGTTCCTGCATTTTTTAAATTTCATACATCAGATGTTAGAGGTGTTTTCCTTGGCTTTTACTTAACCCGCAGACTAGAATGGAAACAGCATATATTTGTTTACCAGAGAGGAGACCGCATTCTCCCTTCCAAACAAACTACCACTGTTTGCATATTTCTTGCAGCTACGACTCTGTTGATATAGCTCCACCTGCTGGTGTCCATTGGCTTTATGAAACATTTAAAGGGAACTTCACCATGTGTCAGATGAGCTGAAAATGCTGCTTTGCTGCTCTGTGTTAGAAGAAGACTTGCATGCCACAGAAGCATGCTACACTTCTGATTACTCCGCATTCAGTGACTTCAAAATATGAATTTTCCCTCCAGCTGTCAGAGGTAAAATGCTCTTTGTGAACTATAACTGAGTGGAAACTTACGACAACTGATTCCTCCCAGTTGATGCAGGCACAGCAACAAGCTAGGGTAGTTAGAGTAGATGTCTGCCAGTGTAGATGGGTTGCAGGATGTTTATTCCTTAATGTGAGAGTGGCCAAAAGAACAGTGTGCCCAAAGTTTCAAGTTTACTGATTCCACAGGGTGTGGTGTGAAATTTGAATGCTTTAGTAGTAATTTCCACCTAGCTGTTAACTTACTGTGTCTTTAAATTGACATCTTCCATCTCCCAGATATTCATGCTTGACTCTTAAAGTTGACGTTTCCCCCCAGCTTATGTAACTGATCCTCTGTCTCTTCTGAACTTGCTTCTGATTGGTTGTGTCTTGCTCCCAGGAGCTCATGAGCTGGAGCAGATGCAGCTGATTCTCAACACAGTGCCGGTGCTGAGAGAGGAGGACAGGCAGGATCTGCTACAGGTCAAACATCAGAGGCTGCTGCAAGTCATATTAGCATTATAATGTCTGACTGATTATTAAGCCTGACATTCATTTTCCCAGCTTTGGAGAGCAATTTTTTTTTTTTTAAAGAAATATTGATTATGTCAAGAACTGCACATATTATAATATCTGAAATAATCATGCACTCCCCCCTGTTTTTGTTATGAATGTAGACTAAAGACTGTCGCTTCACCTCTGTGAACTTGCATTTTGAATTTAATAAATCTAACAAGACGCAATAAGACGCATGATAAACAAAATATATGTTTCATTCACCCGACCATTTTATTGCTTTTACCTTTTCCCCAAATTTTCTTTGAATAGTGAGATATTATCATTTTTATTAATCAAGTTATTAAAGTCTGATGTTGTGAAAGGCTTAATTTTGTACAAGGTTAAATGTGTCTTTTTTCAGCGTGGAATGCCTTAAATGTAAACAAAATAAATAAATAAAATAATGAAACATAAGTAATATTTTAACCATGCATTTCTAGGTGATGCCTTCATATGTCAGTCATGAATGGAAGGTGAAGAAACCCTTTTCTGAACTTCTGCCTGAAGTGGATCCTCAGGGTGAGTGATGGGGAGAAGAGGAAGGTCAAGGACTTTAAAGTATGAAGGGAACAAATAATGGAAGTGCTAGAAGGGAGAAAAAAAGATATAGAAAACCACAGCTCTTCTGACCTGTGACAGATGAAGTGATGCTGGAGTCATGTGAAGATGTTTGGAGGTCTAACACATATAATTTAGGCTTTACTCCCACACCTTCTTTTCCCCTCCCAGCTGTGGACTTCCTTGAGCGTATCTTGACCTTTAACCCCATGGATCGCCTGACAGCTGAAGCGGCGTTGTCTCACCCCTTCCTTCAGCAGTACTCTTGTCCAGAGGACGAGCCCACTTCATCGCATCCCTTCCGCATTGAGGATGAGCTGGAGGACAGCCTCATCACTGAGCAGAGCCTCAGCAACAGCAATAGTCAGGCCTCCAGCATCCAGTGGGACAGGTGTGTGGATTTTTTTTAATCACCAGTGGGGAAAATTGGATCATGTTTTCCTAGTCATTCTTAGTATGTTTTAATAATAAAAATACTACTAAAAATGATCTGTTGATCATTTTCTCATCAAATCAACTACCAATCTCAGCTGTTCATTCGTGTATTTTCAGATTACAACTTAAATGTATGTGTTTGAGCACAAATTATTTACTCCTGACTTGTAATTTCTGCCTTTCTGCAGGTACGAAAACAGTTTATCAACAGTTATGTGCTGGCAACAATCAGGTGGGAGGTGTCGCTGCGTGCCCCCTTGTCACATTACCTCTGACCTGGGAGACACTACAGAGGAAGAGGAGGTGCAGAGAGACCCCCGGGCCAGTTCCAGCTCACTTGTAGAGGAGGCTCAGGTTGGATATGCTTCCTCCCTTTTCTAGATACTAGGAGACTGCTGTACTGGCACTACTAGTACTGTAATGTCTTTGTTATGCAAAGACATAAGTGAAGATGTTGGATGTTGGTCAATAATTTTTCTACATTTTAAAGCAGGGATACTGCAAGTGTCAGCAGTTCTTGTAACCCTGTTGGCTCTTGTCACAGTGAGATGACCATATTGTCTCAGTTCCTATAATTCCCCCCTCTTCTTGCTTCCTCTCACTGGCTTCCACAGAGATTCAGAATTCATTTAAAATGTTATTAATTACATATAAAACCCTACATGGCCAGGCTTCTGAGTATATTTCAGACCTGCTGATAACTTATTCTGGCAACTTTTGACTGTGTCACACTTGACTATGCTTTTGTCCTTTCTCTGTAGTATTTATTCTGTCATGAGCTTAAGTTTCATTGAACACATGGGATATGAGTCAACACAACTAGAATGAATTGCTTATTGAAATTAATTACTTTTCCCTCACCAACTGTCTCATATAGGTTGATCCACGCAAATATTCCCACAGCAGCTCGGCGGAGCGCTTCCTGGAAAACTCTCACTCCTCTCTGGAACGTGCCTGCGGTTTGGGATACGGGGAGGTTGACTGTGGCCGCTCCTGTGATTACAAAGTGGGCTCTCCTTCGTATCTGGATAAAATTGCCTGGCGAGAGGGAAAACCTCAACACTACTCAGAGCCTAAGCTCATCCTTGATCTGTCACACTGGAAGCGTAACATTAACAGCCTCCTTGTGCCTCCTGAGCCTATTGGTGGCAGCATGGAGGATCTGGGAGAGATGAAGGAGGAGGAGGCAGCGAAGGAAGAGGAAGACAAGGAGACAGGGGATTTGTTCCAGGAAATCTCTCGCTGGGTTGAGAGCACCCAGTCTCGTCTGCACTCACCCAGTCCCAGTCCTTCTTTGGAGCAGCAGTCACCTTCCTGCTACACTTCCTCGCCACCTCTCCCTCTGTCCCCTACTGACCTCCCAACTCCAGTCTTCCACTACACGGAGGTTGTGCGGCAACCATCAGAGTACGATGAAGGCAGACTAAGCCCATTTCGCCCTATCATGTCTTCCTCTAATGCCCTCCCATTACTTCTTCCTTCATCTCCCACCTCCCTACATCCTCCTCATTCATATCAAACGGTGTCTTCCCCCACCACCACCACACAATTTTTCCAGCCCACAGAATCTCAGCCGCTTTCTTCCACTTCTTCCCTTTCTCAGCCAGTAAACGCTGACTCCCTGGAGTCTCTTCCTGTCAAACAAAAAGAGCGTCTGTTTGACCTAGATGTGTTTATATCCCGAGCACTGAAACTGTGCAGGCAGAGAAAGGAGAAAGCAAGCGGGAAGAAAGCGAAAGAAGGAGGATGGATGGAAGAAAGCAAACAGCCAAACATTAACCGAAAAGTACCCGGCTTCCCAGAGCACAGGACTCCATCACCACAGACGCCACAGACTCCCAACTCTTGATGTTGAATTTCAACTGCAGGTACACCACAGCATCATACCGGGTAGCACTCCCAAATGCTCATAGTGCTTTACATTGTGAGCAGTGCCCGTGGTTTAATATGCTGCTTAAACATTAGACCATAGTGTTAGCAGCTTTTGTCTTTTTTGGTACTATTGCAACAACGCACTATATGCTGTGATAAAACAACCCCCTGACTTAAGCAAGCAATCTTCCAGCTTCGTCGTGAGATGTTCTCAGGCAGTTAGAGGTCAGAAATGTGGACCACATTTGCCAATGCAAGCAGCAAAGATTTGATTTACATGAGCATATTTTAAAGCAATCAGCTGACATTCCTTATTAACTGAGGTTTGCTCTGATCGATCAGACAACAATTTCATTTTGTGCCACAAACATTTGCAAATGACAAAAGAAGGAACAGTCAGCTGCTGGTATCACCTCCCTACGCTATTAATAACTAATAGCTTAAGCCTGTTTTAGGCTTGCTTTCAATTTGTTTTTCTTACAAGATTCTGTACTTATTCTCTACTTCTTACTGTTTGTAATCCTTTTCAGAACAAAAATTCAAGTGGTCTTCCAGCGGTGAGTTTCACCAGCTAATAATAGTGACACAGAAGGTGTTTTTCCGGTGTGTCTCTGAATGTATTTATTGGAAAAATAATCCATCATATTATGCTACACGATGACCCATAAGGAGTTTAACACTCTAACAGCAACTTCATTTTGTCACTGCTCCAAACGGCCTGTCAACTTGTAAAAAATACAGTCAGATTTAATTACATACTATATTTCTCAATGACTAGTATTTTTGTGTTTGTATTTTTCTTGTGCTCTTTGTTCATTGCTACAACCCATGTTCATGTTATTTGGAGTGAATTGTGTTCTTGTTGAATGTGGAATGCCCTGTGGTAGTAATTTTTGACTATCAGACAGCTATGGTTTCTTGTTTGCTTGATGCACCAAGCAAGGTCTGTTTTACACTGAACATATACTATCCTCTCGTTCCAAGACAGCCACACAGAAAGCTTTCATGCAAACAACGGTATACTATATTTTGAAGTATATGGATACTTTACAACCTTTGCAGGAAATTATTTGTACTCAAAACTTTTTAGTGGTTTGCAGCAGCCAGATTAATACATGAAACTCAAATAAAAAGAATTAAAAAAAATAGACCCAGGTAAATGGCAGGTGAACATTAAGCAGTAGGTGAAGGCTGCTGGCTTGTGCCTCATAGTCTGTTAGTCAAGAGCTTCTCACATTCTCTTGAACTGTGGAGCTAAAACTGGCTTTACAAAACTCTTCAACGCTAGTGCCAAACGTAACCCAGTTAATTTAACATTCCTTTTATTCTGTGGCCTCAATCCCTCCATCTCAAATGTCACTGTTTGAAATGTGATATTCTGCTGTTAACTGATCAAAGAATGTACGAGTTGAGTTGTAATGCTGAAATACACTATATGGATAGAAGTACTGGGGCACCTAAATATTACCCCTACAGGAGCTGGGATGGAAACCAATTCCACGAAGCTCCCCGTGCACAGTTTTTGTCCTGATGTGAATGCCAGAGGAGGTTTTGATCACTGCAGTTATTGAGTCAGCAGTGCAAAAAATAACCCTTAAAGTTGATAATGGAAGATAAAATACATTTGAAAAAGTGACAAAATCCATCCACAGACACACATAAATACAAACTGGCATTGCAACAGTGGCATTCTTACTGTGTAACTGTGTGTTTAGCATCCTATTACTTCCTTCACATATGTTTGTACAGGTAGACTGTATAAATGCTTGATTTTATATACCACAGGACTGAAAACACCTGAATTCAAAGATTAAAGGGTGTGGCCTGTCACTTTTGTCCATATAGTGTACGTGAAACATACTGCCAGCAACACAACAGAATAAGAATGTTTTATTCCTTTCGTATTATCAAATAATAAGTTGAATCCTTCCTTAAAATCCATACAAGCCACACACAGGTCGAAGTTGTCTCGAGTCTTAGCTGTTAACTGTGCAGATGTAAGTTGTTCTAAAACTGTTGACTCTCATGCTGTCTGCACCTGTAATGCATGGTGTAGCCTACATACAGATGCTGTAGGCACATTTTCACTTGCACAACTTAGTATGACTTCCAAAGAATTGAGCCATACATGAGATTTGCCATAAGTACAACCTACGAGACAGCAAAGCCGAGTTGGTTCTTTTAAACATCACAGTGAAGCACAGGTAGTGTCACTAGCACATACAGAAATACAGGAGTTCACCCTATTTTTTGCCAGTAAACTGCGGTCCACCTAATCAAAAGGAATTTTGCTTTAAGTCAAACACAAAGGATCATATTTTGCATTAGCAAATTTCTTCTGAGCTGCAGGTAGAGCAAAGCCAGCAATAACGTCACTGAAAAGTATCTGTAACACATGTCGGTACTGAGCCGAAGTTAATTATTTTAAGTGTTTAAAGCAATGTAGAAAATGTGCCTCGGTACACCTCAATACTTCCAGCTTGCTGAATGTAACGTGTCCTTTTCCTTCTGCATGGCTCTTCAAAAAGCTCAACGGTTGTTGTTTTCATCATGTGTCACTTTGTGATAAGAGTCATGTTTCTGTGGGCACCTATTTATGTTGTATCCATGCTTCAGGGAGGCCTCAGCTTTTCATTTGGGAGAATCTGTGACATTTTTAATTCTCTCTATATTGATAGTATCTCTTTTGGAGTTTCTGTTCTTGCTGGAAAATTAATAAAACAGTACTAAAACTATTTTTTGATGTCATATTTGACTGCACTGGTATAATAATGTAATGGTGGGGAAACTCAGGCAGCAACACTCCCTAGCAGGAAACACAACTCCAATCCTAACTCTGTCAAGCACAGATGGGAGTCTCAGCCCAAAATCCACAGAATCCAAATGATCTGCCAGCTTTCACAGGAAGCCCCCACAGTTTCTATGTCCACATGTTAGAGTTGTTTTGGCAACACGAGAGGGAAATGTTATGACTAATCAGAATACAGAATGTATATTTTGTTACTCAGTTTATGATAATGCACTTGGGGGGAGGGTTGAAAAAACTGTTAGAAAATTGGCTTGTTTCGCTAAATTTGTATTTTAAATTGCATTTAAAATGTAAATGCATTCTCTTGTATAAAATAGTGTGTTAAAAAAATATCAGCATACATATCGACTGAAAGACACTGTCAGTTTTTATGTACAATCTACATTTAGCATTCATTAAATCATGCCAATAAATATACATTCCATTTTTGTTGCTTTCAGATAAATATATAAATATGCCTTTCGTGATCTTTTTGCATTCTTCTGTTAAGACCTCTAGCAATATCCTAACATCTGTTAATCTGTCAATATTATTGTAGGTTAGTTTAGGAGAGCAATGAGTGTTTACTCAGAGCATAGGCACTATTAAACTCAGTTCATCATTATCTACCAGTTTCTGTGCTGTGTAGCCTTCAAATAAATATATATGGTAGATACTTCCTTATTCACAAGGGGTGAGCACAGTTGGTAGCTCCGCATGTCTGATTTGGCAGATTCTTTACCCTGGATGCACTTCCTGACACATCCCAGAGAGATGTCTTCTCCTAAGACTGAACAGGGATGTTTTGCTTCTTAGATAAATATGTAAACCACGCACGCACCACATAGCCACAAATTTTCTACGCAATACAGTACCACAGCTTAGGATAAACTAGTAATATGACATAACATGCGCAAAATAAAATGCGCGTGTTGGAGTATTTACGGTAATCGAGAGGGGAAACCCCAGCATCTGATTGGTCGAGCGGCCGGGTTCTTCTACAACGTTTCCTCTCCTCGCGACTCAATCTGGTGTATGTGTGCTGGCAGGCAGGCTAATCCCAGGGTCAGTCCACAGAAGTTAGGCACAGCGAATATCATAAGAGTTGTGCCTAACAGACATTGAACGGCAGTATTATATTACTCAAGAGCAGGTAAGCGGAGTCGTTGTTCTCTAAATTGTAGAAAGTGTGTGTCATTTGAGAACTTCCTGCTTACTGAGCCAAGAGAGATGGCAGCAAGCAGGGCTGTGATGAGTAAGTGACTGCATTTAGCTAAGTCATCCGAATAAAAAGTGCCTAGTGTCGGTGTGCTTAATCAGTTTAGTAGCTTCAGACATTAAGACTTAGGTGACAGAGGTGTTCAAATGACGACACCCTCTGCTTTATTTTAACTTAAAGTTAGCAAAAGGTTAGCTTTTAGCTCCTGTGGTTGTGAGGCTAATGGCTTGCAGTTGTGGTGGATATCAGTTTTTGGGGGGTTTTGTTTTTGAAAGATCTCCAACATGTTATAAGGTCACATTTGGCATTTGCCCCCAATTATCTTCTCATTCCCTTGAGTGTTAAAGCTTGGGACAGTTGAGTATTTCCTTGCCTTTTATTGCAGGTTCTGCTAATATTTAACCTCCACCGGTGGGTTTTTTACGTTCAGTGATCAGACACACTGACAGGGTGAGTGAGAAAGACTGAGAACAATAACCTGTTAGTAAGGCCACACCTAACAGCTGTGTTAAGTCTGTCTGGTCAGCTGAGGAAACTAATAACCTAAAGTATCATCTGTCTTCAAACCACTTTACCCTGATCATGTGAGACCATAAAAGATTTACACTTAAAATCATGCATGTGGGTGAGATTCGGAGCTTGAAAAAAGGTGCCCAGTGTGCACAAGAGGGTGGATACAATGCATGTTATTACATTATGACTGGTTTAGTTAACACAGTTGTTGTTTGCACCAGTTATTATTCCAGAACCAATAAGAAAAGATTTATTAGCAGTTTAAATTGTACTGCCTTATTTGTCTCACCTGTTTACAAAGAAATTAAATTACCAGTACTCCACAGGAAGACAGATGGCAAGTGAGATGCCTGATTTTGAATGGCATTTAATTAAACGTTTCTAAGTTATGGTTTCTAAACTTACAGAGCATCTGTATCTAGCTGCAGTACTGGTGAGCTCATGCTGTACATTTTCTGATCTCAGCACAATTTTGCTATCATTTTGATTCCCATTTAGAGCAGTCCAGGTGCATAATTATAGGCAGGTTTCTTGTCTCCATTCATACTCTGTTTGCAGACAATTGCTCCTACAAAAAGTCCCAAGCACTTTCTGGCTGTAATGGTGTGCATTCATGCTCTGTGTTACAATAATGATGCGAAGCTGGCACATGTACAAAGATTACCTTGTTTGCTACAAATGGAAAAATTATTTGGTATCTACACCACATCAAATATTATCCTTCCCATTAGCCGTGGCCTTTTTTTGCTTCTGAAAGAGGTCGCAAACCTAACCTAACAAGAAAAGATCTTTGTACAGTTTGAGTCATAAAGACTGACATTTCACAGACGCTGCATCAAGACAGCTTCCTCTTTGATATCAAATCAACAGATCATTAAAATGTCTGCTGGTTGTTGGAGCTGCTTATGCAGTCTGCCGCTTTAATGCTGCTTTCTAAGCAGCATCTCGTCCAGCTGGCTCCACTTGTTGTTTCCTTCATCCAGACATTATGGTCAAATAGAGGGATACATAATTCAGTGTGAAGTGCTTGAATTTGTTGATCAGAAAAGGATAGGCTAATTTGCTTTTCAGTTGTTTTCTTGTTTTGATATAGCTGCTCATCAGCATAGCATATTGTATTTTTAATATTTGTTTAGCTTAATACAACTTAATTTTGTGTTGGTAATTTTTAATTATGATCAAATGTGGATGAACAAGGAAAGGAAGGAGGCAGGATAATACTGACCGCACACATGAGTGCCTTTTGTCACATTAACTGACACCAACTTTGTTTTTTTGCCAGCTGAGCTCAGCTGCATGTTGTTCCAGGCCGAGAAATGAATACAAATTCTATTTCAAGCCTCACTGGGATTAAATTGCAATGGAAAAATACACTTTGTTAATTCTTATTTCTAATAATCTGCTGTGGTTTCCTTGTGCGTCTTGCATTTCAGTTTAGTATGTTTTTTGCAGAAATGCAAGCCTTGGCTGCTTATTTAAAAGGAACTGATATAGAAACTGCAATGTTGTCAAATTGCATTTCCTGTGACATTAAGGAAGGCTAACAGGAATTTTGCTAGATACAAAAAAATTGTAAGAAGTGGTTTACATCTCTTTTAACATCTTCACAAAATTTAAAGAAGTCCAATCGCTTTCTTTCCAAGTTCTTTACTGGGGGGTTTTTTTTGTCTGCTTTAGTCTAAAAGTAGTGAAAATCTTTGCATTCCTTCTTGTTTGCAGTCCACATGCCAGGTCATTTCTGCAGTTATTAGTTGGAGTCTTGCTTTCTGTCATGCGATCCCTGTTGTTTGTCTGTCTTTCCCATCGGTCCATTGCTGGATGATTTAAAAATTTTAACTCTGTGGTGAGAAGGAACTTTTAAACCCATATGCTCCTGCTAGGGCTTTAAGGTCATCCTCACAGTTACTGCTGGTTCAGCCCAGATCTCGACTGAAATCTAGAGGTGATCGATCGTTTGCTCTAGTTGCACCAGAGCTGTGGAACAATCTCCCGATTGGCATCCGGGCGTCTGATTCTATTCATTCTTTTAAATCACAGCTAAAAACATATCTTTTTAAACTTGCCTTTTCTACCAGTTAAATGCTGGCTTGCTTGCAGTGACCTATTGACCTATTGTATTAAATTCTCTGCTATCTTTCCATTATTGGTGTCTTTTATCATGGTGGTACAGTCTTACCTTGCTATAACCTATGTGCTGCAGTTTACTCTTATTGGTGGCTTTTATCTGTGAGCATAATTCGTTACCTTTATGTATTTGATGTTAATGTGTGAACTGTTTTATTTTTTTATTGTTTTATGTAAAGCACTTTGGTATGCCCAAGGCTTTTAAATGTGCTCTATAAATAAAGATTGTTGTTGTTGTTGTGATGCCATAGCGATTTATCTTGTTCTGTGTCTTCATGCAGAGCTCATCACGAAAGGGATTATGACAATCTGTCAAAGCTTTGTTTCTTAGAGCGCACACTAAATCGCTTCAGGCCACGTCCAGATTAATGTTGGCCACTGCTTCCAGCATTTGTAATCCTCAAGTGCTGTCCATGCACACAAAGAGGATTCATTGGCTACTGTGAATAGGTGTGTGTGTCTGTAAGCTGACAGCACTGACTGCGGTTAGCTTTATAACGTATTAAGATGTGATAATCTGATACTGTCATATTAAAAGGCTTTGGTAACAGTGCACTGCACGGTTTGACTGTCAGAAACAAGAATAATTAATAGTAAGTCTTTGACTCTAACCTGCCAAAAAGCCCAAATGGTAATGCACCATGTAGACAGTTAAGACTTAACAACTTAAAATCTGAAATGTGTCACCATGGTGATGTAATCACTGTGCTGCACATCAATACTTTTGTCAGTAAAGCTATAATCATTTCTACAGCCAGGTTGTGCATATCATTTGCACATGGTCAGTATTTTTTCATCTTTCCCTGTCTTGTCTCCCTCAGAAACCAGTGGATCTTCTAGAAAGCACCAGTGGACCCACACCGGTGACTGTCTACCATGTTGTCCAGATTAAGGACAACCTGGTCTCTGAGGCCATGCATCTCTCTTTGCAGATGGGTCCACACCAAAGAAAAGGGCAAGCCCCTCATGCTCAGCCCTCGCACCAACAAAGTAGGTGGACCTACCTTGTGTTGGGGTTTTAAGACACGGTGACGACAGCCCGTTTTTGTCTTGATCAATGTTAATTATGTCATTATGTGAAGAAGGATTATTTTTCTCTGTGTGCCTGGACAGAAAATAACTATAATGAATTGTTGAAATGTTATTGTTTGGTTACAGTGTCCAGAAATGAGTAGAAATTTACTGCAAGATGTCATAACAGTGGTTATAATGTAATCTTTTAAATTTTAGGCCTGTATATTTTCCACACGTTTAAATGCCATAGTCTATCCCACTGCAGATGCCAATATCTGTTTATATCTCAGACAATAGAATAGTGGGGAGCTAAGCTTGTGTGTGACTGATATAAACTGGCATAACCATTTTTAGTAGTCTGCAACCAAAATACAAAAGTTGTAAAAGAAGTTTATGCTTCAGTTATTTGTATTCCCATATCTGTAGCTATTGACTATTTATGATGAACGGTGCCTGTCTGTCAATGCCTGTCTAGCACATTGTTATTTGGCTGCTTTCTGAATTTTTCTTTAAGGTGTTTGTGATTTTCGCTGTCTGTTTTAAAATGCTCACAGCAGGGTATCTAGCAGTGCGCATACAAGTGAGACAATTACAGTGTCGTGTATTTGCTAAATTGAAATGATGCTGTGAAGCATTTGGCTTGGAGGGTTTGATTTTTCAGGAGGTTTGCCAACTACTGAGAGTTACAAGTGATATTTGTAACATGTACATTTTGCTGCTTGAGGTGATTTGACCTTTTGCTAAACTTAGCCCATACCAGATAAATATAGAAATTCCAACCTACATGCAAACTGGACACAGACCAGCTGACCAGTGGTCCCACAAACTGGGGTTTCAACTACTGTTTTTTTCAGCCAGTTTTTGAGCTCCTGCATAGCTCCATGCTTGATTTAATAATGGTTTGTAAAAGCAGGCTTGCAATGAAGACTGTATATAGAAAAACACTGATATAAAAGGCCTATAGAGCTGCTTTCAGGTCTGTCAGTACTCCCCTCCTCCCTGACTACCTCACAATACAACTAGCAACCATACCAACCAAGCACTGCCAGACAATATATGGCATGCTGTATTCTAAAGTTAAAGGCATGGGCAAAATGACTGTAATTGGCACCTATTAAAAATCCTGAGTGGGAGTCCGAGAGTTTGCAGGCATCCAGGAAAAGGACACCCACATACATAACTGAGATAATAAGTAAACAGCATTAGATAAAACTTTAAAATCCATTTATTTATTTGCTCAAATTAAAATTATTGCATTATAGTAAATTCTCTACAAATTGAGTTTATGTACTTGCACTCAAGAAAGAGGCACAAACCTAATTCCATGGTTTGGTTCGGCATTTTTTTAAAAAAAAAATTTTTTAAAGTCAACTTGAAATTCTTCTTGCATTAAAAGTCTCCGTTTCTAAACGAGAACATGCCAGCTGGTTCTAGATTACAAATATAAGAGCAGTACTTGATGTGACTTGCATCAGCAGTGTACTGTAGCAGTAAAGGTCACTGTGTTTGAAATGTAGTCTGGTATGACTGTTAAAAGGGCTAGGATCTCAAATTCCTTCACCCTAAATGTAGGGTGAGCTGTGCAGGGAAAGTGTTCACTGTACAGAATGTATTAATACCTTTATCCAGTATATTCCTGTCTTGGAAGTGTTGAAATTGCATTTCTAAAGTGCTAATCATGGGCTTGCTCAAGATGGTCTTTCATAGGGAAGTGCTCAGCTCCTGAAATCTTACAAAAATGTTACTTTCAATTTTATGCAAAAGGACAAATGCTAGATTAAGGTGTTTGCAGCATGTGGCATTGCGCTGAAAGGAACTGATTGGTAGAGCTGTGTGAAGTGAAATGCTCTATCAGCATGACTAAGCATTTTTCGAGGGGAGCCCCAGCATTCATCATTCTGACAAAATAATCCGCCCCCTTCTGCAGCCCCAGGCATGGCGGCCTCTTTGTTACGCCCATATTTCAGTCGGATAGGAGCTTGTACACTGCAGGGACATGCAAACACATTGCATCCACCTCTCACCTCCCCCATCCTCTCATTTAAAAATTGGGGTGTTTCAGCCCACAGTGGTCTTCATTGGTTTCTTTGAGGCTACTCCTCCTCCTCCACTACTACCCCCACTCTCCGTCCGTCTTTGTCCTGCTGCAAAATTGCTTTCGTTTTGTTTTTCTTCATTCCGTCAGCCTGAATTTATTTCTGTAAATGCTGAAAAGGTAAACTCAGTTAAAGGTCCCATAATGAGGCAGTGCACCGTCTAAACAAACTCCATTACAGTACATGAACAGTTAGTCCAGAAACTGCTATATTTTATAAAGAACAGGACAGAAATGTGGTATGCCTTAGCCATGAGTAGGGGGATGGTTGACATAAACAAATAAAGCCCTGCCCCCAACTACAGGTTGCAGGAGGAGTCCTGTTTTTTATGGTTTGCCAGTAAATTTCACAAAAACGGTCCTGTTAAGAAATGGCTACAGCAGACTTTGATGTCAGACGGTTACAGGGGGTGTTGCGTTAGTACTTTTAGCATCCCAAGTAGAGGTTGATAATAGACGCAATATACAGTAGTGTGCAAAAATCTTGACTCACCCATTATTTCTTAATATTTTGCTAGAAAAATGGGAACTAGGTGGAGCAATTTATTGAAGCAAGTGCAGATTTATATGAACATGTCTTATAAACACAAGGCCACCTTTTATTCTATAATACAGGCTGAACTCTCAGACAAGTTTTCTTTCAATTTCTTTAAGTAGTCTGAAGAATGAAAACAACCCTGACCACACACATTAAAAATACCCCTCATATTATTCATGAGAGTGCAGGCAGGGTCGAGCGGGTGGAGGCAAGTGTCAGAGGTGATTTGTGACAGAAGGATAGCAGTAAGAGTGGAAAAAGATGGTGGTGAGACCTGCTGTGTGTGGTTTGGAGACGGTGGCAGTCAGGAAAAGAAATGCAGAGCTGAAGAAGCTAAAATGTCATGTTTTTGTGTTCCTTCACAGGGTATGGCCTTTTCCCTTCAGGAGCGTCAGATTTTGGGGATACATGGTCTGCTGCCTCCCAAAGTGGAGACTCAGGAAATTCAGGCCCTGCGCTTTCAGAAAAATCTCAAAAAGCTGCACGATCCCCTGGAGAAGTAAGGATGCATTTTTCTTGTTGTACTGGAAAGCGTAAACATGTTTTTAAATAAAAACCGAGCATTTGTCTTCCTGTACACAGCTTAACTTTTCTTTTTCCATACAGGTACATCTACCTGATGGGCATCCAGGAAAGGAATGAGAAGCTTTTCTATAGGGTGTTGATGGAAGACATAGAGGAGCTGATGCCGATTGTTTACACTCCCACTGTAGGGCTTGCCTGTACGCAGTATGGACATATCTTTAGAAGACCAAAGTAAGGCCTTAGCAGATAATTTGAGTTTTTAATGTAGGTTTTGTTGCTCCAGTTCTACACAGCCAGGTATTTTGTCGCTGGGAGGAAATCGTCCAGAGGTGTGCAGAAAAGCTTGATATGGAAGAGAAGAGAGATTGCTATATGTCTTGACACAGCATATTGACAGCCAGTTCTGAAGGCTATATCCTTACAAGGACAAATAATACTGTGTTCATGTCTGAGATTGTCTATCCAAATATGGCTAACACAGCTCTTATCTTCAGTCTAAAGGAGCAGGAATGTTATGTATGCAAGATCCTATTGATTCTTCTAAAATTAGGACAGAAGCTCCTTTCAGGCGAGACCTTTGAGACCTTACCAAGTGAAGGGAGACCTGCTTTAGTCAGGAAAAGCTCTTACGTGTTTTATTTTTGATGGCAGGCGTATTGAATCTTATGCACATAATGTTAAAAAGTGGTTTTATGCTGAAGATGCATTTTCTTTTTCTGCTTAGTTAAAGTTAGGATTTAATCACGATTGCTGCAATAGCTAAACTGTCATCCTGTTTATCTCTCTAGAGGCCTGTTTATCTCCATTCTGGACAGAGGACATATCCGCTCCATCCTTGACAACTGGCCAGACACTAATGTTGCAGTAAGTCTCAAAATCCTCACTATAGTAAAACCTTTTCAGATATTACATTGGAAAAAAAAGTCTAAAAATATGTCATAAAGATATGACAGTTGCTTATAAATATGTCAAATTTTAATCTTCAGTTTTCCAACTAATGTGCTTCCTCCATCTCTTCTTTGTGTAGGTAGTAGTAGTAACTGATGGAGAGCGTATCTTGGGATTAGGGGACCTGGGTGTTTATGGAATGGGAATACCTGTTGGGAAACTTTGCCTGTACACTGCCTGTGCTGGCATCAGACCTGAGAAATGTCTCCCTGTGGTGATCGATGTTGGGACGGATAACGAGGTAGGAAGGCTAGGTGTTGGTTTTTTGTTTTGTTTTTTTTCTTTCTGTTTATTGCATGTGTGAGAGAAGAGAAATATAATAACTGTGTTTACTTTGGCTTCTCATGGTTGCCCTTGTCCTCCCGTTAGACTCTCCTTAAGGATCCGCTTTACATGGGGCTGTACCAGAAGCGAGACCGCTCCCAAGCATATGACGATCTCATTGATGAGTTCATGGAAGCTGTCGTGGACAAATACGGGCAGGACACGCTGATCCAGTTTGAAGACTTTGGGAACCACAACGCGTTCCGCTTCCTTAGAAAGTACAGGGAGAAGTACTGCACCTTCAACGATGACATCCAAGGTTCACACATAACCCCTGACACAGCACTTTGAGACTACTGTAGTTAAATAGGTGCAGATAATGTCTACCTTGTTGTATGACTCTGTCGTCCTAATTCACATTCAGGTTACACCGCACAAAGTGCTTAACTTACAGTTTTATGTTTATGTATTTTTCCAGCTGATTCAAAGGCTCAAAGTTTAGCAATATTTACAGATCGGAGTATTTCCTAAGAACAGTTCTATAAGATTTGCAAGTTTAGGCCCATCCATACAAATGACTTACGGCCTTAACTGTTAAGTTACTGGAGCTGTTTCTAAAAGGATCGCTGCTTTATTAGAGTCCACCTGAAACTCAATGTAAATTTTTATTGTTGGATTAAATTACTGTGGAGCATTTCAGAAATCATCTGTTGTGAGTGATGCTGAAATAAGATGCATTCATGAGCTGTTTTCCTTGAAAATCTTTCTGATTTTAGACAAATTATCATGAGTGTTTGGATGTCTTTGAGGCAGAGACTCGATTGTTTACTCTTCTGTTTGTCTACATGTTTCCAGGCACTGCGTCTGTAGCTCTTGCCGGTCTGTTAGCAGCTCAGAGAGCAGTTGGCAAACCCATCACTGAACACCGGGTGCTGTTCCTGGGAGCAGGAGAGGTACGCTGATATTCATCCTTTTAATCAATTGAACTTCTCAAGATTTTCTTTGTTTTTTTGTTCTCTTGACTTTGCTATATGAAAGTTACGTATTTGAAAATGGCAAAAAAGGCACAATTGGAAGAAGCGTACTGTTCCCGACTGACCACAAACAGAACAAAAAACCTGAGGAGTTGCTCCATTGTCTATTTAGAGAATAATCGTTCATGTTTTCTTTGTGTAAATTTTTTTGTGTTTTTATTTTGTTTATTCATTCTTTTATTTATTATTTGGTAGGCTGCCCTTGGAATTGCCAATCTGATTGTGATGGCCATGATGGAGACGGGAATGACCCAAGCTGAGGCCAGGAAGAAAATCTGGATGTATGATAAAGATGGCTTACTTGTAAAGGTAAGTGTGTGACACAGGAATTTATAATAAGAAAATGATACAATTTTGTCTACTTTCCTGGCTGGTCCACGGTCTAAACAGTCAACGGCATTTTCACTGAACAAGTATTTATTAGTAATTGTGTCTAATGTGTCACATGTGACTCCAGGGCAGACAGCAGGGAACTGACTCTAACCAGGAAGCATTTACCCATGAGAGTCCAGGGGATGTACAGAGCTTCCTAGATGCTGTCAATGCCATCAAACCTACAGCTATCATTGGTGTGGACCTTTAATTAATTTATTTATTTTTTTGTATTCATATAATTGTAGCCTTGTAGCACTGCTTGCCAACCAGAAAGAATTATACAAATATCTATTTTATTAAAATATTGTTTGTTAATAATAAACAATAAACTAAGTCAGTTACAAAAAGGTTGTAGTCTTATTTCAGACCTTCTTTGAACAGTAATAATAAATCAGTCTCTCCTTTTTTCCAGGTGTGGCAGGAGCTGGACGTCTGTTTACCCATGATGTCATCAAGTCCATGGGAACCCTGAATGAACGGCCAATTATCTTTGCCCTGAGCAACCCAACCAATAAAGCAGAGTGCACAGCAGAGGAGGCCTACACTCTGACAGATGTACACATTTTTTTTTCTAGGCTTAACTTTTTTCCTCTTTTTTTGTCTTTTTTGACAAACTCTTAAGTTATGCATTCAGATTGTGTTTTTCCTACCTCATCACCTCTCAAGATTTGTTTCTGTGTCTCACAGGGAAGATGTCTTTTTGCGAGCGGCAGCCCTTTCGGTCCAGTGACTCTGAGCGATGGTCGCGTCCTTACACCAGGACAAGGGAACAACGCTTACATTTTTCCAGGTGAGAGGGGGGAAAAAAATTGATTATTCATTATTTACATTAAATGCAGCACTCTTAAGATGGTATGAATTGCATTACATCCTGCAAATTTGAATGCAGTATGTTGTAATTGGTCTTCATGCATTTCAGGCGTGGGCCTGGCTGTGATCCTGAGTGGAGTGAGACACATCAGTGACACGGTTTTCTTAGAGGCTGCCAAGGTCTGAAGACACTACTAAATATTTTTCTACCTGTTCTTTAAGTTCATCTTTAACTTTTCCCTCACTCCATCCTGTATTGTCTTGCTGACTCTTTCATGTATGCATATTCTTCATACAGTTTCTTCCCAAAGCCCATAACCACCCTTATATCCATCCATATATACATAACACTATTTATTACATATTTACTTTTTTACACTGGTTTGTATATTCGTACATTTTATATATTTTTTCTCTGTTAATACTGTTCATATGTATATAGTGCTGCAAAACTGACCCCCCCAGCATGTTTGCACTGAGTAGGAGATGCTCTGTATCTCATTGTACAATTGTATAGTGACAATAAAGGCATTCTGTTCTTCTATTCTATATTCACTATATGCTCATCTCAGCCCTGTTTAACCCTTCGATGTCTCCTCTTCCCTCTCTTTTTAGACTGGCATAACAGATGAAGAGCTTCTCTTTGCTGGGCTGCATTTGATACATTAACACTAATCAGTGCAACAGATGATCACTGTGCTTTGTTGCCAGTGTTTTTGTTACTGTTCAGTGTCAGAAACACTGTGATTTGCATGGTGTTAATAGTACTAGAAGGGGTTTGATTACTTTTGTAATTACAACTGGCCAAAATCACATGACTAGTGTGGGTAGACAAACAGTAGTAGTAGTTTTGTCTGGTTTTTGTGACCTAGAAATTATTCTTTATTGTAAATGCAATCTTACGTTCCTTTCAGACACTTGCAGAGCAGCTGACAGATAAAGAGCTTGCAGAAGGCAGACTCTACCCTCCTCTGTCCAACATCAGGGAGGTCTCTATCCAGATGGCTGTCAAGGTAAGCCTCCTCCAGTTTAAATTTTGGTTATTGTCAAGGTCAGTTTACATATTAACAGTCTCCAAGAAATAATCTCTGTGTTCAACGGATTTTTTTTTTTTGAAAAAAGAAATTCATGCCCTGCAGCCGGACAAACCGTAACATAACCTATCAAACACTGTTCTCCTTTTGGTCAAAGTCATGTTGTAGTTCCTGTGTCACTCCTTACGTTTGGTCAGTGATAAATTTTCTCTTTCCCACTAAAGGTGGTGGAGTATCTCTATGCTAAAGGCATGGCGTTCCACTACCCTGAGCCAGTGGACAAGGACGCCTTTGTGCGGGCTACTGTCTGGAAGACCGACTATGAATCTTTCCTGCCGGACACCTATGATTGGCCAGGTGTCAACTTTAGCCCCAAGTCCATCTAGAAATAGGGCACACTCACTGTGGCTCATGTCATAATGGCCTTCTCTTCCTTTTTTTCCTGCTTTATACCTAATCACAGATTTTGTAAGATTGCCTTACTTTAAACATATGCTTAAAAATAGACCACAGTAGCCATGCTGCTACATTCTCACCAAACCAGTCTTATTGGATCTGTGAACAGTCAAAGTGGAAAGTGAAGAGAAGGGCATTCTCATTTTAAATTACACTTCTCCATTATGTGCATAATGTAGAAACCTGCACAAAGCCAGATGGCCACCTGGTGGTGGAAATGGGCAGTGGTTACATCTATTTTCCATGCTGCTCCATCAAAAACTCAGCACTAAATTTGCATAAATTTCATGAATTTTTTTTCCCATTAATTTTTAAGATGTTATTGTTTCACTGTATCTGTAATCTAATAATGACTAATCTGTCATTTTGTTGTGTACATTTCTGATATTTGCTGTCTTCAGTTAGCACGCACAAACTCCATTCTTTACTTGTACTCCGTCTTCTAGTATTCTTGCAAGCTTGCAAGAAATGACCTCAATTTCATAACATTTAGTAATATCCAGTATGTATTTGTGTATTGCCTTTGTCCACCTTAAATAAGGCTCTGGTCAGTTTTCCTCTTCTCATTAATACCCAGTATAAGACATCTAGCAGAGCAGAGGACTGAAGAGGAGAGCCTTTCTGTTAGAGGCAAACAAAGACCGATTCACTAAAATTGAGATTTTCTGAAGGGAAAATACATGAAAGTTATATATTTAAAAAAAAATGTAGGCAGACAACCTTTTAACATCCACTCCAGCCTTTTGTTTGTTTGATTAATTGTGTCACCTAATATTTATTTCTTTGAATTCATGTTTTTTTTTTTTGTATTCAACTGTTTTGAAAAGCCTCTCTTCAACACTCCTTAAGGAATGGTCTCATGAAGAATGTATCCCTTAAAATGAACAATTTTGCTTAAGTGTTATATGAATACTTAAGAAAATATGTGCAGTATATAATCATTAGATACTCATTTATGTTGTTAAATGAACTTTTTTGGTCTGATGCGCAGTGTGTGGCATTGAGGTATGTTGGTTTTACTACTATTGTTTCGTCTGAGCAGACTGTACAAACTCACAGGCCAAGCTTCTCTTCAGTGTTATGATCCACCACGAGGTTAAAACACAGGTTATGTATTCTAGCACAAGTACTCCTCATGTAATAAGTCTTTTTTGACTCAGCCAAGTGATGTAAACTGTGAACTGTTTGAAAATATTATTGGGATTAGAAAATATTGACTGAAAAGCCCTGGTTGATTAAGTCCTTCGTACTGAATAGCAATGGTGCCTAAGCACTGTATAGACTGGCAAAATATCTTTGTGATAAAGTGCAAGTCGGCTATACAGTGTACAAATCCACGTGTCAGTTTGATGTACTGACCTAATACCAGTAGGACACACTGCTGACCGTTAACCTGCTGAGGTTCTCTGTTAGCGCTTTGTTTTTGCTCAGTTCTGTGACAGATTGCTGCATTGTAATAGCAAATAAACTAAAGGTATACCACAGTGTTTCATGTAAAATGCAGGATTCAATCTATGCTATGATCATATTTCTAAGACTTTAAACTGCTTTATGACAGGGGCATTGGCAGCATTGCACATTGGTCTTCAGAGATGTGTGTAAAATGGAGATGGTTGACAGGTTAAAGAAAGAAAATGAGTATTTTAACAAGGAGAGGGCACCTACATCAGGATAGAAGTGCTTCATGGTTCATATGCAGTGAATGCTCCCTGTAACCATGCCAGCAAAAAGCCGCCTTCTTTTTCCTTTAAATTGTCATCCATCGATTTACACTGTAAAACTTTAACTCAAGGACCTTCCAACATTGAAGTGCCTGCACAAATTACAGTGTCCCTTCATAGTCACTCCCATGCCTCATTAAGTTAACCATGCAGATAGCCACACTATAATTATTGACATTATTGTTTTGTTATGAAATGGTGTAACTGTAGCATTGAGCATACAGTGCTTTCTCTAATAAATGTTAGATTTAATGCAAACTTTTCAGTGGTTTAATGATATGTAAACACTGTAATGTCATCGGTGTGTTGCTCACGTGTTTGTTAAGATGTTGACTGTAATTGTCCAGTTTGAGGTTTTTGCTGTTATGTTCGATGAGTGGTTAGTTCATGTGACTCTTAGTGGTTTCAGTATTCATAAGTATTCCCATGCAGTCTGACACTGATTTTTGGTGCAGTCATGTTTGTATACCAGAGTGCAGTATGTTTGTTTTATTATACTTGAGGTGTGAAAACTCCAGAGTAAAACCTATTTTTACATCGGCTCCCTTGTCTTTCAATTTATTTTTTTTTTTTTTAATCCCATTTATTTTTCTTCCTTTTCTTTCTTAACAGATTCATCTTTTAAACTGCTTTTAACAGGCATGTTGCGACTTTCATCCGTAGATAAAGCCGCAACATTTAGTCAACAGAAAAGTTTGCCCACAAACCACTCACCCAACACACCTGCTGCGAACACCGACCTCAGGTAAATAGACTGTGACCACACCCACACACCATCACCTGAGACGCAGGTAAAGCTATACACCTGTGCCACCAAAACAAAAAGGAAAAACATAAACATTGACTTTGGCTCTTACAAGGCAGTTTACTACAGTGACCTCCTTTTTGAACCCTTACTGAATTCTCTCTATATTCTCACTATAATTTAATCCTGCTGATACCAAAGTACGTTCATCTAAACAGCTAGCTGTGTCCAGTTGTTAGGAGGACGATGCATGAGTCCGCTTTGAGTCAACAACTGGAATGTATTTTGTGGACCACTTAAAGAGGACACTTAACAGATTTCATGGCTGCATTACCGAATGCATCAAATTGTAAACATGCCAACTTACCAGCCCAGAACTGCATGCTGCTTTGAGAACAATAAGACTTGGATCACTACTGATCTTAACTGCTTAATAAAAAGAAGAAAGCTGAAAGAGGAGAACTGAGGAGAGTGCAGCCCGACCTAAGGGGGAAGCTGAGGAACTGCAAGGACTCCTACAGGAGGAAGCTGGAGGCTGAGCTCAAGCCGAACAACATAAGTGATGTGTGGTGTGGAAAGAAGATCTCTGGGTTTAAGGTGACAGCCAGCCAGTGAGCACTCTATGGAGAGAGCAAAGAGCTACACAGATTCTTTAGTTCACAGCTTTCTACTGCCTTCTCTACCACACACTGGCCTCCACGCTGCACTTCTTCAAGTGAATTCTGTAGATAACACCCCCACATCGGTTAAACACCTTCTGTTTGAGTGTGACTTCTGGCCAGATTAGGAGACAGCCTGAGAACCAAAGCAAGGCTGCTGGCCCTGACAGCATCAGGCCCGAGGCTGTGACGTCCTTTGTTTTGAAGAAGTACAGGTACATGGGCATCCATACTGACAACAAGCTGAACTGGAAAACCGATACAGAGGCTGTATACCAAAAGGGGGTGAGAAGTAAGCTGCAGAAATGATGGTGATACTCTTATCACTCAGTCGTGGTGGGCCCAGCACACTGCTGTGGTCTGCTGGAGGTGGGTTGGAGCTGGTAACACGGTAAACAATAGACTAAATACAGTGATCAGGAAGGGTGGCTCTGTGATTCACTGCAAAATGGACACTTCTGAAGCTGTGGTGGAAAGGAGGACACTGAACACTCTCTGCACCATTTACCGGACAGATCCTTTACAAAGAGGTCAAAAAGCGGTTTCCCATTCATTGTTTTGCTTTTATAGATATAGCAATTTTGCATGAAACAAAATCAGACTGATAAAAAATACAACAGATGAGTCTTTCACATTGAGCTCTGTGATTCCAACCAAAATCAAAACAAAAACAAACAAACAGCAGAAAATCAGGTTGGACATTAATAGATCAGAGCAGCAATGTCTTTCCGAAGGTTCTGTGAATGGGTACATTTTCAAAAAATAAAAAAAATGAATACATGTCCACGGATAAGCTTACAGAAAGAGTAGGAGATATCTACATAAGCTTTATATTTCAGAAGGAAGTGTTTGGTTGGATAAAAGAAACTTTTTTAACTTAATAAGAATTAAGAAATTTTGTGGAAGAGGTCATACTTTTACCCAGTTCAATTTCTCCCCGCAGTTTCCCCAATAGGATACAGAGGGAATATAACATCGTCTTTGATATGTGATCTTAAAATTACGACCAATCGTACCTAACCGGACACGTCACGCATCCTACGTCATCAGCGGGCGACAGTATTTTCATTGACATGGCATGCTTGCTACTGTGTGGCAGATAGTAAAAAACAGTTTTCTGTAACTCCGGGAGGATGACCATGGATTTGACTTTCCTCGGGACGGGCTCGGCGTACCCGTCCCCTCACCGCGGTGCCTCGGCTCTGGTGCTGCGGACGGACGGGGAGTGCTGGCTGTTTGACTGCGGAGAGGGAACCCAGATCCAGCTAATGAAGAGCCAGCTCAGAGCCGGTGTGCCACTTCAGATCCTCACACACACAGTCTGTCTGTCCTTTAAATATTTCTGGAAAAATAAAAAAAAGTTTTCCCCTGAATAAACTTCCTGTCATTGAAACAAATCTGTTCATGCCTTTCCATACCCCAAATCATTTGTTTGTAGGCTAATTAAGACTTCCTTTTATAAGTGCTCATAAATATGAAACAGACAAAACAGTGCACAGTGTTGTTTAGGAAAAGAAAAAAAAATTCCTCATCTCCATCTTGACATGAACCTGTTTTAAGTGCATATAGTTTAATTCAGTTTACAGCAAAATGCCCGACTTGATATGAAGGTGTAAAAATGTGATGTGCTTTTCACACAGGGCGAATCACCAAGGTTTTCATCTCCCACTTGCATGGAGATCACCTGTTCGGTTTACCTGGTCTCCTCTGCACTGTGAGTCTCAACACCAGCCCTGAATCTCAGCAGGACCTGAACTGTGTGGACATCTATGGGCCACGGGGTCTCAGACACTTTCTCAGAGTCACTCTTGGCATCACTGGATCACAGCTGCTCTTCCCTTACGCAGGCAGGTCCAAGGCCTGATAAATTGATCAGGCCCAACATTATGACCACCTGCCTGACGTTTGCCCCGGTTCTGCTGCCAAAACAGCCCTGACCCATCGTGGCACAGACTCCCCTAGACCACTGAAGGTGTGCTGTGGTGGCGTCAAGGTGTTAGTAACAGATCGTTTAAGTCCGTAACTTGCGAAGTGGGCATCCATGGATCAGATTCAATTGGATTGAGATCTGAAGAATTTGGAAACCAAGTCAACACATCAAGTGTGCAGTGCATATTATCCTGCTAAAAGAGGCCACAGCCAGCAGGGAATACCATTTCCATGAACTGGAAGCTCAATACAGAAGCTATATGGGTGTTTCCCAGGTTTTTTCATACACCCCCCCAGCCATCCACATGATGTCAAAGAACATATGATTCATCACACCAGGCCAACTTCGGTGGTCCAGTTCTGATGCTCAGATTCCTATTGTTGGCGCTTTTGGCAGTGGACTGGGGTCAGCATGGGCACCCTGACTGGTCTGCAGCTATGCAGCCCTATACACAGCCTTTGCTCCCCACGTGCATCAGTGAGCCTTGACCACCCATGACCCATATGCTGGTTCACCACTGTTCCTTACTTGGAGCACTTTTAATAGAAACTGACAAATGCAGACCAGGAACGCTCCACTGGAGCTACAGTTTTGGAGATGGTCTGACCTAGTCATCTAGCCATCACAGTTTGGCTCCCAAACTCACTCAAATCCTTACACTTGCCCATTTCTCCTGCGATTAACACATCAACTTTGAAGACAAAATGTTCAGCTGTTCCTTAATATATCCCGCTGATTACCATGTGGCATGATGGGTTAGTCAGTGTTATTGACTTCCCTTGCACGTGGTCATAATGTTATACCTGATTGGTGTATTGATACAAGATTGAAAGCATTCAATACAGGGGTTTAAGAACAAGCAGACGGTGTAGCCTGTTGTGGATGCTCTGTTTACTAGTTTCTCTGAGTCTGAATCTTGTTCCCTGGGCTATTTATAATTTGCTGCTGTTTTTTTTTAATGCAGCTGCATCATTTTAAAAAAGAATCTTTAAGAAACCTAGTAGATGGCTCAGATATGCTGCTTGATGAACACTGATCAAATAATTCAAGTTATACCTAAGTTATATCCTGGTTAAAGATATAATAGTTCACATCTTTTCTCTTGGTTTTTAGTGCATGAATTGGAGCCCACACCTGACCAGAGCCCAGAAGAAGGAAAACTTAACCCAGAGGTAAGTCGTTGATTTTGTTGTTTTGATGTTCCTGTGTTGTAGAATATCACCTCTCCCTGCTGTCAGTCCCTGTTTTTACTAAATGATGAAATCTGGAATTCATATTTTCTATTTAGAAAATGATAAAGATGTAGTGAAAGTTCCTAGTGATCTTATGGCCTCTATCAGTGGTCTTGTCTTTGTCCTTGTCCTGCTAGACCTCAGTGCAGCTTTCAGTACTGCTCATCACAACATTTTAATACAGACTTAAATACACCACTAGCTACACCAATCGTGTTGATCTGACAGAGTGTAAGTGTTATATTTGTGAGGACATTCACTGACAGTAATACCTTCTTAAGATTCTTACCCCTAGGTTTAACTGTGTGCTAAACCCTCAATCTAAACCTAATTCCAACTTTTACTTTAAAAGTTGATCTTAGCCCTAAAAAAGACTTTGAAGAGGTATGAAAAAGTCTATGTTTGCCAAAAAGATTTAAAAAAATTCTCTTTTTGTGGGTTCATCATTTCATTTATGTTTTTATAAAAATATATATGATTTTCTGTCATGCAGGACAGTCATACTCTTCCTCCAGAGAAAGTGCATCTTCACAGCTTTCCTCTTTACATGATCACTTCCCTGTGTGTGATGTGTTTAGGGTCATCTTTAAATTGTAGCTTTTTTCTGTTTTTTTTTTTATTACTATGCATGATAGTTTAGTTGTTTATTTAAAAGACATCAGTGTGCAAATTGTTGCTGATATGCCTCCTTTGACTTGCGCTGGTACATGTTTGAGCATATCTCCTCAGCTCACCAGTTATGGCAGTTTCCACCTGAGCATTTACATTTTGTATTTTGTCCACTTGTATGCTGTTTTTTTCTGACGAATACTAGCACCTCTCTTGTCTCCCCAGATGGCAGCAGAGTGCGGTCCTCTCCATCCTCAGGAGCAACCAGGCAGAACAATCTCCTTGGATGTCTCCAGTGACACTTATCTTCTCTTTGAAGACCAGAAGTTTGCGGTCAAAGCCTTCAGGTTGTTTCACCGCATCCCTTCCTTTGGTTTTTGCATTCAGGAGCGAGATCGACCTGGAAGGTTGAAAACAGAACTGCTGAAGGAACTAGGTGAGAGGCATTTTCTGTTCTTTTAATATCTCTTCATTATTTGTGTAATATTAAAAATATAAATTCCCTGCATATAAAGTAGATGGAAATAACTGTCGTCACCAATTATTTATTAATGCAAGAAACAATTTCAGAAAAGCAACCCTTGCAGCTGGTCTCATTTTGTATCCTACAGGCCTGAAACCAGGCCCTCTCTATGGGCGCCTCAAAGCTGGGGAGTCAGTAACTCTTGAAAGCGGGCGTGTGGTGCAGCCTAGTGAGGTGCTAGAAGAAGCTATTCCTGGGAGGAAAGTCTGCATTTTAGGGGACTGTAGCTCGGTGCTTGGGGAAGGGCCGCAGAGGTTGTGCAGCGGAGCGGACATTCTGGTTCATGAGGCCACCCTTGGGAACGAGCACCGAGAGAAAGCAGTGGACCATGGGCACAGCACACCTGAGATGGCAGCGGCAGTAGCACGGGCTTGCTGTGCACGGAGGCTGGTGCTAAATCACTTCAGTCAGCGGTACAAACCCAGCGCCATGGTGAAGGAAGGAGATGAAGACCATGTTTCAGAGTTAAAGAGACAGGCTGAAGAGGCTTTGCAGGACACTGGGGTAGATGTGATTCTGGCAGAGGACTTTCTCACTCTACAGATCTCTCTCAGAAGATCAAGATAATAAGCAGCTGGTTTAGTGAGTATAAAGCTGGTAGTGTTTTTGGCTAAAAGCAGAGGAATTGTCTGTATATTTTATGATGTAAGGTGAAATTGTCTGCTCTTTGTCTAACTTGTTTTTATTTTATTAAAAGACAAATTAGTGAACTGACAAAAAAGTCAAGCTCAAGGTCCTCTTGTTTGCAATCTACGTTGATAATCTATATTATCATTAACTATTTTTCTATTTTAGGGAATTTTATTACCTGTAATACATGTTGGCTCTGAACCTGAGCTTGGCAATGGCAGTTTTTGCAGTGGCCAATATGCTTCATCTCAGGCTTGATTAATTTTCTTTATTCAAGTCTTATATTCTGGTTCCTAAAAGCAAAATTGCTGAGTGCCAATGTCACGTTGCAGTTAAATCACTGTCCTCCAGCAACTATATCACTGGTTGTGGAGGAATGTCTCTGTAAGGTTCTGGCTGAATATAAGTAGCTGTTGAGAATTTCTGTAGCTATTTTGCAGATTTTTAACAGTTAATTAATCAATGAATTACAATCAGGCAGTGAGTGGTTGCAAACCTGATCTTATATCAAGGAAGGAACAATTTTAAAAGAAAAAGACAGCAAGTTTATTGCACGCAGTCCCAATAATGTTGTTCATTATTCAATCTCTAGCCAGTTTTCCCTAGTGTGACTAGGAATAGTACTTTTTAGTGCTTTGCCTACAAAGTAAAGGTTGCACCTTTGTGTTGATTGGACAGCTTTTATTTTGTAGACAAATGTTTTCATTTACTACTTAATAGTTGACAAGTGTTTGCAGACATGTTGCTGTCTTCCATGCAAACTGTGGGCACCTGAAGCAATCTGATAGAGACCAAAGTAAGTGCAAAGTTTTATTTTGGTATAACACGTGGTTTGTGACCAATTTCACCCAGCAACAATCAGCAACCACTTGCTAACCAATCAGGCAATACATTTTCCCTACCAACCTGTGGTTGTAAGGATTTTAGGCTGGTTCAGATGGAACAGGCAGGTAAGCAGAACTTGAGCTGAGATTTTGTCAGTTTAAAGAATGGTTTTGGGGGGGCTGTAAATAATACTTGGTCCAAAAACTAATGACTAAAACTTTCTTTTTTAATATCACGAGGAATTTAAGCCTCAAGTTTTGTTAAACTGCCGCTCTCATGTAAAGAATAAACGTAATGATAAAGATGCAGCAGTAATCTTCGAACCTTTTCCAGAGCTTTATTTCTGGATCTGTACACAAGGTATTAAAGTACAACATAAAATACAAAATAATGTTTAACAAAAGAAAAAAAAACAACAAAAAAAACCTCAATGTTTATGTACAATTTTTATAAACAATAAAGATAGCTTCTTGAACATTTCTCATAGTGAAGTTTTTGATTGTCTATATTTCTGGATATACATTTTTAAGTTTTGTAGGTTTTTATTCACAAAGGTGTTTTTATTTTCATCAAAGGACTTTGTTTCCTTCTTCAAAACCACAACTGCTATATTTTTTTCTTTTTTAAACTTCAAAACACAATACAAAATATAAAATAAATTTGTTTAGTGCTTGCTTGCACACACAAGTCTCATACCAGAGATATCAATAAAATATCACATTTTCGAGAGTTCACAGGGTGGTGAAAAACCTACTTCTACTACTTAATGGCCTTTACATTCTGACAGTTTTTCTGAGTCTTTGTACAAACCACAGGTGAAATAAATATCACTGGACTGCTAAAGCTAGAAGAGCTTGGAGGACCTACTGCATTATGCACATTGCATTAAAAGAGAAACTAGCTCTCCACACACTTACAGCAGCAGCCATCCCGTTACCATCGAGACAAATATAGACGACGACAACATGTAAAAACTCTTAAGGAAAGAAACATGAGTGTCTTTTACACATGGCTGCATGTTTTGAATGCAAAAATTGCAACATTGAGTAATATCAATACGTCTTCGGGTAAAGCCGTTTTCAGTGGTACACTTGAAACAGGGCACAGCTGGCATGCGTGGTTTCAGCTGTGTCCTGGTGTCTGGGTGACTTTCCAAGGAGAGAAAAGAAATGAAAACACCAAGTCAACCAGTAAAATGCAAAACCCAAAATATCTGTACATATCTACAAATTATTGCCTTTCTGACAAGGAATCAAAGTAAAACCTTTTTATCAACACAGATTCACAAGTGTAAGAGGTCAGTTAATAGACTTTTTAAAGGCTATTTGCTAATTATTTACATGAAACACAGATGTGATTATCCTCTCTGACGCTGGCCGTTGAAACTGAACTGCTTGATTAAACTTAAGGATTATTAGGCATGAATGGACACAACAAACATGATGTACCCCTGAAACAAACTAAATAGTCATAGCACAATGCATAGATAAATTAAGTAAACACTACTACTGCATCCAATCAACTGACACTGACCTGCTAAACGTTTTACAACTCACAATTATGAACTTCAGTCAAGCGAAAAACAGCTCCATTTCTGCTACTAGGCTCCAAAATATTGTCAACCGGATTTCAAAAAGGCATAACTAGGCAGTACAGGCTAGGCAGAGGTTCAATACAAACTCAGAGAAGCTTTAAAAAAAAAAAAAAAAAAAAAAAAAAAAAAATAATAATAATAATAATAATAATAATAATAATAATAATACTGCTAGCAGGTTAGGGGGGAAAAAAAAAGGAAAAAAAAGGCGCTACTTGATTTAGGAACATATCCACTTAATTAGGACACACACACAGCTTAACTTGCCTAAGCGTAGCGTGAGTGAAAGCATGAACTGAAAGGGTGAAATAAAACTTTAGAATGAGAAAAGTATATGCAATAAATACATACTTTACTGTGTCGAGGTTTAAATGGCTATTAACCCAACCAGAAATCTTTGCATTGCAATATTGCTGTTATGGTTTGTTGATATTCTAGCAAGTAGCAGGATTTTAAAAATATATTTATATACTCAACAGTAAAACAAGGTGACTCCCAGTATATTAATTTGCGCCGGTATTTTTCAATCACCTATTTTAAAATGTAAAGAAAAAAACAAAACAAACAACAACAAAAAAACAAAAAACAAGGCCATTCATTTGGGTTTGACTACATGGGCATTATTAAAAGGAAAAAAAAAAAAAAAAAACCTCCAGTATTGGCCACTTTGAACAAAGGTAAATAAGCAGACAGACTACAAAGCACAAGAGAACATAAAGAGAAGAAACCCAAACAAGATGGCCTTAGCAGCTTAAGCCACGACACTTCCTGGTTTCCAAGCTAATCTCCATGCTAGTGTTGCTCTTCGTACAGTTATGTATCCAGGTAGATTCAAATCATATAAAAACCATTTGCACAAGTTGGGTTACTGGAAAGTACCTGTAAACAAAAAAAAGAAAAAAAAAATAGTACCACCTTAAACAACAAATACAGGCAACTAAATGCTAACACCAGAGCTGGGGAAACTAAGTTTTTGGCAGCTAGAAGAATGGCAGGATAAGGTACTGAAGCTCTGAAGATGGTGGGTGTAGACGTGAAGGAGGAAGAGACACATCTCTCCTACTGCAGCCCCTGGGCCCTGCTGTACATGGACGTTACACATCTCAAGACCGCAAAACAAAAATAAAATAAATGGCTATATAAACTCTTGAGAGAAATCAAGATTTTAGTTCTATATGATAGACATCACTGATGTCATATTACACAAAAAATGAAAACAAAGTATAGTCATATACATATATATAGAGATAGATATATATATATATAATAGAATTTAAACAAATTGAATTTTCCAGTGAGGTCAGTCTTATGTACAAGCAGGAAAAAAAGGGATCTTAAAAGGGAAGAACAGGGAAGAAGATGAGGAAGATCACTCTGACTGAAGTGCTGCAGTGTGCTGTGTGTGGTGCCGTGCATGTGCTCCCAGAAACCCGTTGGGCTCACCGCTCCCAGCCAAGCTCCCAAAGTCTGTGACAGATACTGCCATTTTGGCGCCGGTGATTCGGTGGTGATGCGTCGTCGTCCGTCGTGCATCAAAGTCCACTCCGAGGTTACCCACGGATACGTCATTGATAAAGGAGTCAGGCAGCGCCATCTTGAGTCTCTTGGAGGGCCGCTCACAGTCCTTGTTGACGCACACGCCTCCCAGCTGGCCCAGATCTGAGTGGTAGAAGCCAGCCTCAAGCATATTGAGGCAGTCAGGTTCTGCACCATTTGCAGGGAACCCAAGGGATTCCTCGTGGTTCAGGGAACCTCGATGGAGACTGTCCAGTGGAGGAAAGCTGTAGGAGTCCAGGCAGCTAACCTCTGCAGGACTGCATACTGTGGCTACAGTGTTGCTCAAAGCTGCAAAGACACAAAACAGTTAACAACAAGAAGTAGTCATTTATTTTTATTTTTTTAAACCATCGCTGCACAACTAAGGTCTGTAACTAACCCGTGAGGTCGCTGGCAGTGATGGAGTTGAGCAGGCTAAGCTGCTGTTCTGTGGTTGTTTCCAGCCTTCCACCACCACCAGCACCTGAACACACGGAGGAGGAACTGTCCACAGCTAACCCCTCCGCTTCATCCACCAGCCTGTCCATCAGGTCACTAGAAACAAAGAAATGTCACTGGGTTTGTTTCTTCCATATTATGTGAACTTTTTTCCATTTTATTGAAGCAAAGCAATAAAGACAGACACTCCGTTTCATTTCACTTACGTTACTCCAGGATAGTTGCTGAACTTTTTCTTCCCGAACCGATTCTGCTGCACAAAGAAGTCAAAGCGCTCTGACTTTTTCCACATGTAATAAAATGCCACACATTCTGCTACTGTTCTTGTTGTGACCTGAGAGGAGAGGAGGGGGACAGAGTTTACAAAACTTTGTATACATTTTTATTTGCATACACTTGTAAAGGGAACCATAAATTCACACTTACTTTGTGTTTCTGAATGAGGTGAAAGTTCTTGTCATACATCTGAAGAGCATGTTCAAAGTTCTTGCATTCCTCTTCAGACCATGGAGGTGATTTTTCTGCAATGAAACCATGAATCCATTTTAACAATGGGTGTGCAAAGGTAACCACAGGCCATGTCGAAACCAAGACATGTCCCACCAATAAAATTCATCCCAACTGAATGGTCCATTATTCCAAACTTAGTATCAACCATTTAGGAATAACAGGCATTTTTATATAGTCTCCCATATTCCAAAGGTTCAAAAGTAATTGGACAAACTAATAATTTTTAACAAATGTTTAAATTTGCCTCAGATCTAGCACCCGTGGACAATACCAAATGTATTGATTTCTGTCGCGATGCTTTCATTGGAGCCGTGTTCAATTTCTATTTGTTTGTGGATCTTCTGCCTTCAGCTCCATCTTCAGCAAATGTTAAGGGCCCGTAACACTCACAGCGGCTACCTTGCGAATTGTAACACACACTAGACTAGAGATCGCATGATAACAATAACAAAAAAAAAATAAAAAATACACTGGGATAGCCTACTCAGAGATGAAATGCCGGTTTGGCAGCATGTAGCGAGGCTCCCGATGCTTTTTAGTGTGAAGTCACTCCAGACCGCCGACAGGTCTCGCACACAACAGCCGCTCTATCAGGTGACACATACTGCTCCGACGTGCTATGGTCGCGAGCTGGTGTATGCCATGTCAAAAGTTTTGTGAGGTGCTTTTGTGATGTTTAATTCATTTTTTTTTTTTTTATTTCTCCCTGATATCCGATCCAGTAATTTAGGTCAAGATTGGACCGGTACCAATACTGTATATCGGGTTGTTCCATCTCCAGTTACATCCTCAGTCCTGCGTCACACATTGACATTATTTCGACTCGTTCTTCAGCTCTCAGTTTTTGTAACCCCAAACGGGTGGCTTGGCCAGACTGAAGGCAAAAATACACAATGTAGTGACCACAATGGGTCCTTAAGGGATACTCCGCTGGTTTAAGATCAGGTCACTGGCTTGGCAAGTGAAGAATATCCCATTTCTTTGCCTTGAGAAAATCTTGTTGCAGTCTCCATAATCAATAAACACATGCCATAACATTGCCTCATGTTTAACACATGATTTGGTAGTCGTTTCTCTCCTTCCCCATACTTTTCACTTCCAATCATTATGGTACAAGTTCATCTTGGTTTCATCTGTCTAAATGTTTTTAGGCAGAAGAAACTGCTCCTTTAGAGGATTCCTTGGCAGGCCTAATCAGGCGTTCTTATTATTCAGTGAAACTAGTGGTTTGTAAATGTCGTCATCAGACAGTAAACGTGAGAGTTTGCATGCCTACCTGTTTTTTGTGACCGCGCAGACTTGTCTGCTGAGACAATACAACCATGCATGCGCTCAAGCAGCGGACTTCAAGTTGATTTTAAAGAAGTATAACAGGAACGAGAACTCAGGCATCAGGCCTCCAGCTGTCAGTGTCCGCAACAGATTATAATCCAAGCTTTAGTTGTCTTATGTAGTCTTTTGGTGTTGCTGAGCGGCAATGTTTTCCTTTTTCAAAGACATCTAATTTGTCTAGTCCCAAAGGTTTATTTTGGTTTTTCAGCCTAATGATGGCGTCCTACATTTGCATTAACATCTCTCATATTTTGATGTCAGTGAACAGCCATCAAGTCCAATACTTGCAATCAGCTCGACCTCACATGATCAAGAAACTGTTCATCAATTCTCATTTGTCTAATTACTGAAAAGGGGGGGCCCCATGTACAATAATGACTTTGAATGAAAGTGAAATCTACATGTGAAGCATTTTGAGTGTCTTGAGGTGCAAACGAATCACAATGACATTTCCTATGAGAAATCACTTGCTTACCTTTTGAGGACTTTACATGGTTGCAATATCTTTCTAGTGCTTCGCGGGTGTTGTAGTTGCATTTTACAAGCTCACGTAAAGCCTACATTGAAAGAATGAAAGAGTAAAAATTATAGCATTTGCCAAAATTGATCAGAAACAATTAAACAGATATGAATGTCAGAGAAAATACCTTTCTTGAGGTGCACTGCTAATAACACATTCATCATTTTATCAAACCATGTAAAGGACTGAGTAAGACATGACTGACCTGCTCATTGTCTCGCACATGCATTCCTGGTTTGTCACACCCCGTCTTTTCATCTGTCGTCCGTGACAATACTTCACACAGGAAACTTCTAACCTTGTTTTCTGATAATACACCTGGACTCCACAGTAACTCATCTTCATCTTCATATGCTATACAACCAAATACATGATGTTAAAATTAATCACCAGGTGTACATCACCTATTCTTAATTGAATGGTTAACAACACTGTAAGCAGCCACATTAAAGAATAGATTAGGAACGTGTGATGAAAGCAAAAAAAAAAAAAAAAAAAAAAAAAAAAAAAAAAGTAGTATTCACCTTTCTCCTCATCTTTGTAGTGACAGAGGCAAGAAGGAACTTCTGCTTGGTATTCCAATCCCACCATTATTTCCTATTACAAAGCATAAGAGGGCATGTCTGAATTCAAAAGCAACCTGACTTAACATGAAACAAACATGAAACGGCGAGTAAACTATATCCTATATCCATGTTTCCAAATGAAACAAATCATTTACCTTTCTCGAGTCCTCTGGGCATGGGCCATCTTCATCACACTCTGA